GCTGTGATTCCACTGGTGTGTTTCCTCCAGCTGTGTTTCCTCCGACTGTGATTCCATCCATGTGGACACTGGCTGTTGCCCGGTGTGTTCTCATTGGCCTGGAGACAATGTTCCACGACTGTGACTTGCTCCTAGTGACCGGTGTGCTAGGCTCCTCCCCGGACTCTTTCCCCTTCCCCTGTCTGGACATAAAGGCGACATTTCCATACTCCCAGCCTCAGAGGAGCTGCCTAGTTCCTCTTCTCGCTGCCAGAGCCTACCAGGTGTGGCTCGAGGTCTCCACTGCCCTGGCCGAGCATTACAGTCACCCGTGTCAGTTGCTAAAAAAAAACCCAGTGAGGTGGGGGATTGACTCTGGTCATCTTCTGCCGCAGTTCTGAGTTTCCACACCAGGGCCAAACACCCTAGAGGTTTTGATGCGCCGGTGAGTTCGGGTGCTGTGGCCGCAGTGGCGGTGCCCTCTGGGGAGCCCCTGCAAGAGCATCACCATCCTCTCCCTCTGGCACTGTCCCTGTTCTACCCTCGAAGTATCCCTGCTGCGCTCCAAGCCGTTACCAGGCAATGGAAGCCACAGAACTGACATTTCAGGGTCTGACATTGGCAGGGGGTGGAAGTGGGATGCGGCCAGGTACCCTAGTGGTCTTTTCTCCTCTGACAGCCCACGTCCCTGATGCCCTATTCTAGCAGGGACAGACAGCACTGCAACTGAGGGAAACAGCTGAGGGGCAAAGTCCGCGTGGGGAACGGGCTGCCCCTCTGTTGACCTGGCCTGCAGGCCTCTGGTCAGTTCTGGTGGATCAGCTGGGGCGTGCAGGGTGGCGTACACACAGAGAGGAGGAGCCCTGCCTCATTTGTTGTCACGTATGGCTCACTCTTCAGCTCTGGCGGGTGTCTTGGGGGGAATACGGGCTCGGAGAAGCGCTGCCTCCTTGGAGGTGAAGGTGCCACTTGTGGGCCCTGGGCAGATAGAGGGTTTGGTGGGTCAACAGACTTTCTCTGGCTCTTGTGGCCCAGTAGCCTGTGCTGTCATGGGTCTCCCTGGTCTCGCCCCCAGAAGGCGGCGACCAGAATAAAGGAGCCGCCAGGGTCAGCGGGAGACGCATCCATCAGTGTCCTGTCTCCTTCCCCGAGTCCCCTGGCGGGGCTGCAGCTGGCAGCCCTGGACCTGGCGGCGATTCCGTAATTGGAGCCCGAGTCATTAAAAAGCCATTACTGTCTCCTTGTGGTTATCGCTTAGTGCCGCCCAGGACAGCGCCTGCTGGCCACGGAGCATCAGTGAGAGGACTCCGAGGAGAGGCGCTGAGTGAGTGAGGAGAGGCAGGGCCCTCTGCTGGGGGCCGCGGGAGGTGCTGAGGCTCTGCTCTCCCTAGTCAGCTTCCTTGTGGCTGTCCCCCAGCAGCTGCTGTCTGCAGGGGAGTCCTTGCTGGTCATCAGAACAGATGTTGTGAGCTCCAGGTAGTGTCAGGTGGGAACACCCACCCCGTGCAGGCTTGTCGGGGCAGTGCTCGGAGTCGACCTCCGTCCTATGCGTTTCTCCCAGAACTGCGGCTGCGCCCTGCTTGAGTGTGCAGGATCCCCTCGGGGGCCTCCTCACTGGGTATGTGTCAGCCTTCCTGTGTGGGCCTTGCCCAGCAGGCCCTTCCATCCTCACCAGGCACAGGCTGATGCCCCACTCCGGCTGCCACCCCCAGCCAGGCACACTCCCTCCTCGCATGGCTCCAGCAGGCCTGATGGTGACTGAGGGGGCGGGCGGCTCTCTGGGCTCTTCCAGGGCATCGGAGGTTTTTGGAATCTCTTTTCAGAAGCCCTTGGATTCATCCATCCTTCTCTGAAGGCCAGGGGTTAATTCCATTCTACTCAAGATCTCACTGGAAATCAGTGTTACTAAGGCGGTGGCTTTTTGTCATTGTCCCCCAGCAGGGATGCGGGGGGACAGAGGAAGAGGAAGTCATGTTTTCCTGAAAGCAGCTCCTCTGCTGGAAGGCTCTGGAAAGTCCGTGGCATTGGGGCTGGGGGGTGGGGGGGACATAGGAAATGCCCCCACTGCCCAGATAAGAACATTGGGAGGCCCGGCAGTGAAAGCACTGGAGAGACTACCTGTTGACCACTGAGCAGCCAGTGTGACCCCGCAGTCCAGAGGCAGCTCTGCCAGTGGGGCCCCACCTCTTGGGTCGGCGTCCTGTTTCCTAAGTGACCCTGATTATTGGTGTCAGCCCCACAGAAGCTCTCTTCTTTGTCCTGCCCAGGCCCTGCCCAGGGAAAGTGTGAGTGCTCTGTATCGTCCCAGGAAGCCATGAAATGGCCTCCCCTGCTGGCCAAGTGGGGGTGGGGTCACGTGGGGGCTGTGGCCAGGCCGCTAGCATGACGGAGAGGGCAGCCGCCCCGTGCATGCCCGGCACAGAGCTTGGCGAGCGGAGCTGGCTGTGGGGCCCTGGGGCTCCCGCCAGCCGGGTGCTCACACAGCCCAGCCTGCAGCTGCCTCCCATCCTGGGACTGGTGGACAGACACACGCTGCCTTTGCAGCAGACCACACCCACAGAGGTTTGGAGACTCATCTGTGTGGGAGCAGATGTTTTGTCCTTGATCATTCCATCAGGCCTGCATTTAAGGTCCAGAGACAGGCATGAGAGCTGTAGCACCAGCCCTGGCGGTGCCCCGGCACCAGCTCACCCCGGTGCCTCACCCTCCGTCCAGAAGTCCGTGGCCGCCCTCGGGCTGGTGGTGCCCACCTTCTGTGATCAGACACCTTCCAAACCAGCAAGCTGGAATACAGGAGCTGGCTCCCTGTCCTCCATCCTAGAGGTGCCCTTGGGGAGCCCCACATGCACAGCCCCTGGTCTAGAAGCATGGGCGTGGACACAGCAGCCCCTCTGTCAAGGAGTGTTCTCCTGTGCTCTGGCCGCCAGGTTGCTGGAGAAAGAGGCTGTGGTGTGCAAAGCCCAGGTCTCAGTAGGGGTTCTTCTGAGCGCAGAGCAGCCCAGGGTATTGGGAAAGGTCACCTCAGACGTCGAGTGGGCAGCACAGCTGATAGTTAAACGCAGACAGTGTGCTCATAGGTTGTGGCCAGGGAAGCGGCCTGGTGAGGCCTGCGGGGTAGGGACTCCTGTATCTGTGGCCTTTCTGCCATTCTCTGGCTGCCTTCCCGCAGCACAAAGATGAGCTAGGGTACCTTTCAGTTGGATTGTTCGGATGCAAAGGGCTGCTGCTCTTGGCTGGGTGAGGAGCTGAGGGGGTTGACAGAGTTTCACTGTACCCTCTGGGTGATGTGACCTCCTTTTCCCCTCTCATGCGTACCTTACTTACCTGCACACAGGCGCACCCTCCGGGCCTCTGGCACGGCTGTCTACAGCTGTGTCTGGGCATGCAGACAAGCCCAGGTCGGCGCGTGCATACAGAGATGCACAAACACTCTTGAGCCCCCAACATGTGAGGTACATGACATAAACTCCTAGCCTGCTGGCAACCTCAGACATGAGCCCAGGGCACTCAGGCCTGCCTGTGCAGATCCCCTCCCCGCCATGGGTCTGGGGTGTCGTTCAGGGGCAGACTCCAGCATAGATAGGTTAGGGCAGTCCAGGGCTGTTCCCAGAACTCCTGTCTTCAAGCTCCACCTCCCCCCTCCCATGCAGCTCATCTCTGTGCTGGGGGAAGGCTTTTATAGCAGGTGGGTACAGGTCTCATGCATATCCTAGACTAGGAAAAAAGCGAAGTACTTACAGTTACCAGCTCTCTACTTGTTACCCGCCTTCCTGGGAGGCCAGGCCAGTCTGTATGAGATGGGGCAGTGTGTCCCAAGACCTCAGGGACTCAAGGGCCTGATACCCTGTGTCTCCTGTACCCTGTCTGTGGCCAGAGAAGGGCCTGCTAGCTGGTTGCCTGTGGACAGTTCATGAACTGTCACCCCCTGCAGACATCTCCACCAACCCTAGCGCTGTCTGAGTGACTGGCTGGTCTCAGCCTCCTTCTCCCAAATCAGGGGACCCTCAGCCCCAGGGAGCATTGTCAGCACTGCTCATTGCTACCTGGGGACTCAGGGGCTATGCTGTGCACAGAGGGGAGAGGGTCTGCCCCAGCTCCCCTAAAATGGATAGGACGGGGTGGGGGGGGGGATCTGGTGAGCTCTCTGGGTGTGAGACCTTGGACCTGGTTGCACCTAACGCCTCTGGGCAGGGCCCCGGGATCAGTCCTGGCCTCTCCTGTGCCTCAGGGAAGGTCTTCTATATGCCCTGGAGCCCTTCTCACTGGGTAGTCCTTGGGGGCAGCAGAGACCACAGCAGGAGATAAGTTCGCAAAGTCATAGAAATGTGGCTCAAGCTTTTTTGTCTGGAGCTGACCTCCAGCTAGTAGGTCTCCTTCTCCCACTCCCATGTGGGCCCTCTGCGGCCCAGGAGCCATGAGACGGGAGGGCCTAAAGAACCCGGTTGGGCTGGGGCCGCAGGGACTCTGGGCTGTATCCTGGCACGTGGCGGGCAGGCCCTGAACAGCCTCTCTCCCTCTGCAGTGTCTTAGATGATGAGGGCAGCAACCTGAGGCAGCAGAAGCTTGACCGGCAGGTGAGTGAGGCTGGGCCTGGGCGGAGGGCAGTCAACACTTGTCAGCCTGGCCAGGAGTTCCCAGGGAAGGGGGAGTGGGTTGTCTGGGGTGTGATCTTATCTGAAGGTGAGAGGAGGACCTCATCAGCTCAGCACTTGCATACTTGGTTCACGGGGCTCTGCCTGCCTGGCAGTTGGGGTGGCTGCCAACAGGGGCCTGATGTCTGGGTAGCTTCCTGGGCTGTTTGCCTCCTTTAGCTGGACCCCAAATCGAGGGACACCAAAGACATGAGACCTTGGCCCCCAATAGGCTCTGGATCCCATGCCTTCTCTTGAACCCTGTGAGCAGGGCTTTCAGTCCCATTCTGGGGGCCTTGCCTTCCTGGTGGAGGTGAAGAGGTGCCCTCTCCGGCTACCCCCCCACCTCTGTGCCATTTTCCATCTCTGTAGCGGGCCCTGCTGGAGCAGAAGCAGAAGAAGAAGCGCCAGGAGCCCCTGATGGTGCAGGCCAATGCCGATGGGCGGCCCCGCGGCCGGCGGGCCCGGCAGTCGGAGGAGCAGGCCCCCCTGGTGGAGTCCTACCTCAGTGGCAGCACCAGCTACCAAGGTACGGCCTGCCCACTGCCCTGTGCCGCAGCTGCACCCCTGCATGTTTAGGGAGCCCTCAGCGATTTCATGCTGACCTTAGCTGGTGAGAGGCTCCTGGCAGGCCGAAGATGGCTTCCAGCCCAGGTGGACACTGGAGCAGGGCGAGCGGGAGAGGTTGGAACCTGCAGCTTGGCTGGAACTTCATAGGTGTGGGAGTTGAAAGTTCGTGGTTCTGAGCGGAGTGGTTTCCTGAAAGCAGGAGGCTGCTACCAGGGCAGAAGTCCACTCCCCGCTGGGGTTCTGCCTCCCGAGAGGAATCCTCTCAGCATCCTGCCCCATGCCAGCGAGAACCCTGTTCCCTCCCTCCGTGGTCTCCCCACCCCTCGGTTTACCTGGCACAGACCTGCAGGTCCCTTCAGAGAGCCGTGGCGACCTGCAGCCTCCAGTTCCTGCCCTTGCGCTCAGGTCCCCAGCGGACCCTCTTCGGGGCCAGTCTCTGCAGCTCAGCCTGGGCTGGGGCAAGGACTCCATTGCCTCCCTGTGCTCGAGACCCTCACCTGCTTAGGTTAAGTGGACCTCAGGCTTGATGGGGTTGATCTCTGTGTACCTGAAAGCGGGACTCAGACCCAGTCCACGCTGCCCCTGTGGGTGCCAGGAGTCCAGCAGCTGCCTCGTCACCCACTGACTATAGTGGCTTTCGCAGTGGAGAAGAACCTCAGCCACCTTGGTGCCCTCCTGTAGCTTCAAGATCTGGAGCCTCCAGCCAGGGTGAACTGCGCTCACTGCCTTAGGTCAGGCATCTTTACTATCTCAGGTTCTGCTCATGCAGCCCGTAACCCACCGCATCCCCTTGTCTGCCAGGACAGACAGTGGTGTCTTGTCTGCAGCATTAGACCCTGCTCCTGGCCTATCACAGCATGCCAGCAGCCCCCCTGAGGAAGCCCCTAATAATAAAGGGTGTCTCCAGTCATTTCCCCGGGTGGGGGGGGCATGACACTGGCCGCTTTGCCTGCATTGTCTCATTTAATCCTCACAGTCACTCGCGTCCCACTGGATCAGGAAGATGACTCTGAGGGTTCAAGAACTTGAACATGATAGACTGCTAGGGAGCAGTGGGGTGAGCCCAGGAACCCAGGCCCGACTGATTCCAGGCTCCCTGTGAGGACCGTCCTGCCCAGTAAATGCCCTGGGCAAGCAGTGTGTCCGTGTCCCACCTGATGCCCTTCAGAGCAGGGGACGGGGCCTCAACCCAGCGCTGCTCTCTTGGAGAGGCATCACTGGCTGCCCACATGGAACTGGCCCGACCCCACCCTTTCCAGCAGTCTCCTCGCATTCCCCTGTGCTGTGCCAAGGCTGGTGGTGGAGGTGCCCCTCAGGGAAGCCACCCGCTGTCTGGTGGCTCGGCCAAGCCTGTGCCACTTCTGGTCCCCTGCTCCCAGTGACTGCATCAGTCACTTTTACCTGCTGAATCTACTTCCTCCCTAACAAAGGTAGGAAAATTCTGTCTCGGGGCTTTGGAAGTCAAAGCAGCCATGGTGTGTCCAGGGCCCAATTAGCTGACGGTTCTTCCTTGTGAGACTGCAGAGCAAGCTGGTGTTGCTGTTTCTCTGGGATCCAGGCTTTGCCAGCCCCGAGTGGAGCCTGGGAGAAGCTGCCACGCTGTGGCAGGTGGCTGGGTGTGCTGTGTCCAGGAGCATCCCTGCCGCCTCAGGCATTAGCGGCCTCCTGCACTGCCCTCTGCTGGCTGCTGGTGTTAAGTACAAGGGACCATTCCCAGAGGCGGGGGAGTTTGACATGACTCACCTTCGTCCTGGTGAACAGTTTTCTACCTTTTGGCAGTGCAGTCATGTTATATATCCATCCAGTTTTTATCTTTTAAACTTCAGCATGGGTTCAGCAGACTTTTTTAATTGGGATATAACTGACACATATTAGCCTCAGGTAGAGTAGGAAATGACTCTATATTTGTATATATTTATGAAATGATCGCCACCAGCATACCTTGTTATGTGCCTTTCTTAAATGTTTATTGAGGGCCTGCTTTGTATCAGGTTCTGGATTCGAAGCTGGGGGTCCAGGGTGAGGCCCTGCCTCTGCTCTCTCCTGAAGTTTAACACCTGGGAGGCACCATAGAGTTGAGTGCATCAGCTCAGGTGTGCAGAAGCAGCCGGGCTCTGCGTGAACCACAGCCTGGCCCCAATGGAAGTCAGAGAAAGCTTCCCTGAGGGGGGATCACCTGAGCTGGACCTGCAGGATGAGACGAGTTAACGGGGCAGCGGGGCCGGGGTGCGGGTGGCGCAGTAGTGAGGGCAGCCCGGGCAGCAGGAGCAGCCACAGCAAGGCCCCCGTGGACACAGCAAGTCCAATATGAGCAGGTGCTGAAAGGCCTCGGGCACCCAGAGGTTGAGGCTGAGTGAGGCCAAGGTGGGGGGTGGGAGGTGGAGGAGCCAGACATGCAGGAGACCCTTGGTCTACATTATCAGGCAAGTGAGAAATCAGAGACTAAGCCGCTGAAGGACTCATCCAGCTGTGACCTTCCAGATTTCACTATTGGTGGGTGTAGTTCCTGTATCCCCTAGTTATGCTGCTGCCTCTGCAGGCTCCCTGGAGCACATCCCTGGCTGTGGTCTCTTGCAGAAGACACAGCCTTTTCTGTCTCCATCCCCCCATCTGCAGTGACCATCTGAGTGCTCCCTCCTTCCTTGCCAGGCTCCATCTGCTTATTGGTACAGGGCTTGGGTTCTTCTGCATCTCCGTTGATCACAGCTTGACCAGCCGTTGACTTTGTCGTGCTGGGCTGTGCTTGGTTGTCCGGGTACAGATGAGCCTGCCCTGACCCTGTGGACCCAAGTGGTGGCTCAGAGGCCCTGGTGGGGCTTGGTGGTGGTAGAGGGACCTAGGAGTGAAGTGACAGAAGTGTGTTTTAAGTTGGACTCTGGTCTCACCTCTTGTGCCCTCTCCTCCTCTCTCCTCCCTCCCTCCCCCTATCTTGGTCTGGTGCCTGAGCAGTTCAAGAGGCCGACTCACTCACCACCGTGCAGCTGGGAGCTGCTCACCCATCAGCACCAGCCTCAGCCAAGAGAACCAAGGCAGCAGCTGCAGCAGGGGGCCAGGGTGGGGCCTCCAGGAAGGAGAAGAAGGGGAGGCATAAAGGTTGGCTCATCTTCACTAACACCCCTTCCCCTGGAGGTCTGGATTCCACTGTTGGTTGGGGGTGGGGTGGGTGGAGACTTACTCTCTTCCAGATTTGGAGGTGGGGGACAGCACAGGGGACCCCAGTGAAGGCATGGAATGGCAATCAGCCCCCACCTAGCTGGCTCATAGGACCTCCAGGCTGGCTTCTGGGTACAGACACGCCCTGCCCTCCATGCGGCCAGGAAGAGAAGTCCAGCTCAGCTGTGACCCAGAAGCCTCTCTGCTGGGCCTGAGCTCCCTCTGCCTCCATCCTGACTATGGGGGCTCTCACTCAGCATGGGCAGGGACACCCACCTCACTCCTCCAGGCACCGTATGGTACAGCACTCACTCATCACAGATGCTTCCTCAGCTCCACTCGAGCCCCAGCCCTACCCTGTGGGTCTGAGGACCATTCTGTTCTTCCATTCCTCCCTCTCTCCAGAAAAGACTCCCAGAGATCAAGGACAGGTACATCCACCCCACCCGGGTCCCATCCCTACTGGCTGGGCATCTCATTTCCTGAACCCTCTGGCATGGACAGTAATTTCTAGGCCTCTGGGTCACAGTTGGGAGTGGTGTCAGGCTTCATAGGTGTGCTGAGCTGACTGAGCATCTGGGGCACAGCCCCACCAAGCAGGGTCCACCTGTGTGGACCCTGCCCTCTTTCACTGAAGCTCTGGTGCCTAAGTAGAAAGACCCAGGTGGGGTGAAGGTCCTCCCTGGGGAGGTGATGTGCTCACCATGGTCTTTCTCAAGGGATCCCAGATGTTTTAAACAGTGTGTGTGTCACTGTGTGCGTGTGTGTGTGTTTGAGAGAGAGAGGAGTGTGGGGGGGAGGGGCCCGGCACTAGCAGGTGGAGCTGCCATGTCCGTGCGCGAGTGGTGGCCTCCGCGGTGGTCTGCATCAGCCCTCTCTGCCAGCCTGTTTTTTCCCAATGCAGTTGGTTTTGTAGATGGCTGCCGACTGCCCCAGGAGGTGAGGCCTTTCAGAAGAAATGAAGCCCGTGTTCCTTCATAACATACAGATCATTAAGAGGCTGACAGTAGTCATTAGTTTCTTTAAAGTCAGTTTTGCAAACCAAGCATGTCAGAGCGCTTCCCCACCCCATCCTTCACCTCCTTGCTGGACATCTGAGGATCCAGCCCCTCCAGCCCCCCACCCCCTCCCACCCCTGCTGGGGCTCAGGAATGTCCCCGGCCTGCAGGCACTGGCGGGCCAGAGGCACTGGCAGAAGACAAGTCCGAGGCCCGAGGCCCGGTGCAGATCTTGACTGTGGGCCAGTCGGACCGTGCCCAGGACGCAGGGGAGACGGCGGCTGGTGGGGGCACACAGCCCAGCGGGCAGGAACTCCGAGCCGCGATGCAGAGGAAGGGTGAGCCCCGGGGGGGTCCAGCGCCACCCCGCAAAGCTCAGCCCCATGTTCTCACTGTATCCTCCTTCGGGATCAAGGCCCTCCTCTATCTGTACCAGCCCCTCCCAGGCCCTGGTGGGGGTCCACTGGAGACCAATCAGAACTCGGGCAGGGCTCATGGTGGGGGTTCCTCCAGGTGAAACAGAAAGAAATACGCCCTAGAGTCACACACTCTCAGTTCTGCCCACCTCCGGCCTCATCCACTCCAGGAAAGCCCAGCTTTGGGGCTAGATCATCCCTTTCTTTGTTTCTCTGAAAAGTCTCCCTTTGCAGAAAGTTTCCTTATGCCTGATGAACTGGGGGAGAGCAGGGCCAGGATGCTAAGAGGCAGCTTCTAGGAAGCCTGCTGCCCTGATGACTTCCCCTTAAGCCCTGCCCCAGGCAGCCCCGAGTGGGCACCAGAGGTGACCCAGCGTGCCGCACACACTCAGAGAAGTCAGACCTGGGGTGGCTTTCTGGAGATGGGGTTGTCCAGGCAGCACAGGGCGGGGGTGGCATTCTGGGTAGAGCTGGTAGCCACATGTCAGACTGAGTAAGGAGCAGGGCCTCTCCCAAGCAGATTCCATGGTCTGTGCCAGCCAAGCCTCTCATGGACCTGAGTCAGAAATGGAGGTTCCCAGCACCAGAGCAGGCCAGCGCAGGCCTGGCCCTGCACAGAGGAGACGGGACCTGCCGGCTAGGGGGGAGGGGCGGGGGATCCCAAAGACAGTGACCGGCCCCGGTCATGTGTCCACCTGAGCAGTGCCCTTGTGGCTGTATGGGTGTGTGCGTGCATGCGAGTGTGTAAGTGTGGGCGTGTCCACGGCTGTGCGTGTCTGCGCGAATGGCCCAGTGTGTAGAGGTAACCACTTACCCTTTCCTGCTCCTCTTCCTGGCCCAGGCATGTCCAGCAGCATGAGCTTTGACGAGGAAGAGGAGGATGAGGAAGAGAACAGCTCCAGCTCCTCCCAGCTGAACAGCAACACGCGCCCCAGCTCCGCCACTAGCAGGAAGTCCAACAGGGTGAGCGGGGTGGTCTGGGCCCAGCAAGAGGGTGGACGGCAGTGTTCACAGGTTCCTCAGGTTGGAGGGAAATGATGGCTTGCCTCGCCTTCTCGTCAGCCTGGCCAGGAGAGTGGGTTGCTGGAGTAGCTGGAGTTGGAAGTGACGACCTCTGGGGTGCTGTGACCCCACTGCACCACAGGGACTGCTGAGGCCAGGCCAGGGGCCGAGGGCCACATCCTAGGGGCCCTGCGCTGCCATTTCAGCTGCCTGGGCCTCTGGGCCTTAGGGTGCCCCCTTCTTCCCTGTAGGAGGCTGCCTCAGCCCCCAGCCCGACAGCCCCAGAGCCGTCGGCGGATGTCGAGGTCCAGGACCTTGAGGAGTTTGCACTGAGGCCAGCCCCCCAGGGGATCACCATCAAGTGCCGTATCACGCGGGACAAGAAGGGGATGGATCGGGGGATGTACCCCACCTACTTTCTGCACCTGGACCGTGAGGATGGCAAGAAGGTGAGGTTGGCCTGCACAGGCGCTGTCACGTAGGCAGGTTTGCAGTCCGAGGGGCCCGAACGTGGCTGGAAGTGTCAGGTCCTCCACTGACCCAAAGGAGCAAGCACCGCCTTGCAGGCCCGGTGGGTGCCTGTGTGTGACCAACACGTGTGGTGTGCACAGGAATTGGGGTTAAGGCGGGAGTGAGCAGCTCCTGTGGGTCTGGAAAGTGACCTAGCTCCACTCCCCAAGGTGTTCCTCCTGGCGGGAAGGAAGAGAAAGAAGAGTAAAACATCCAATTACCTCATCTCCGTGGACCCAACAGACTTGTCTAGAGGAGGCGACAGCTACATCGGCAAACTGCGGTACCTGCCCTTCTCACGGGATGGGGGAGGGTCGAGGCAGTCTCTGCCAGGGCAGCTCCTGTCCCCAGGGGGGGGAGGGGCTGTGTCCATCAGATCCAACAGTGGCCAGGTCTATGCCAGCCCATGGCCAGACCTGGTGATAGGCCTCATACCCCTGGCCCTGGAGGTACCGGTCCCCTAAGTGGGGTTGACCACACCGAAGATGTCACTGATGGTGTAGGCCGCAATGCAGAGCTGTGTTGGCCCCTTGCTCAGTGCCACAAGGCAGGGCGTCCCCTGATGAGAGGAGAGCCCCATTAGCCTTGGGCTGGGGAAAGCTTCAGGAGGAGGGTGGGCTTGCTGAGGGACAGAAGCTGGCCAGATTTGGGGAGCAGAGGTAAAAGCTCAGAAGAAAAAGAGTAAAAGCTGGAGATAGGACTAAGACCACAGGCTGAGTGGGAGGGAAGAGACTGTCCCATCTACCTCCACAGGGTGCCAAGTCTCCAGTACAGTCTTGCCAGATGCCATTCTGCTTGGTCACCTCCAAAGGGAAGCACCCCATTTCTGTGGAACCCAAATGTATCTCCCTGAAGTTTTCCCACTAAACTGAGTGGCGCTTTGATTCAATGCAGAACAAGTCCAGCTGGGCCTTCTACCTATGAATACTTGCAAAAGCTGGGGGCTCGGAGCAGTATGCTCCCAGGCCAGCCCATGTGCTCTGCAGCTCCTTGGGGGAGAGACTGAGCTAGTCTGGCTCTGGGGCAGAGCGTACACGATCCCGTCCTGATCGTGCCTGTCCTTCAGGTCCAACCTCATGGGCACCAAGTTCACGGTTTATGACAATGGCGTCAACCCTCAGAAGGCATCTTCCTCTACTTTGGAAAGCGGGACCTTGCGTCAGGAATTGGCAGCTGTCTGCTATGTGAGTCTTGGGTTCTGGGGTCTCTCGTCTCTGAGTTAGACGTGGCACCCAGGACTTGCTTCCTGACCTGGAGACTGCTTCATCTACCCTGGGGGAGACAAGGCAGCTCAGAGGTGGGCCGCCCAGAGGTGGGCAGCCCTTGCCTGGGCAGGGACCCTGACCCTTTCCTTCTCTCCTTACAACACAGACCCCCATCTGCCTGGGCAGCTCCTGCTGTGTACATCCCAGCCTGGGAGCTCCCGGGAGAGGAGGCAGCAGGACGCCCATTCCTGTTGGTACCTCTCCAGCCCTCCCTTGGCATCCACATGGTGCAAGGCCCCAGGCCTTTGCATAATCTGTCATCTCACTGGATGTTCGACAGGAGTGCGATCCCATTATTTTTGTTACAGAGATGAGGAAACTGAGGTTGGATCCCTTACCAGTGTCACACAGCTCATAAATGACTACTTGGGCTTGAGTATTTCTTGGAGGCTGACTGGGAATCCATTGCTATTTGTATGGACCAATGATGCCACCTGCTGGTCAGTCTTGAGAAGGCAACTGGAATCTCCAACCGGGAGCCCTGACTGCATCCCAAGTACTGGGAGGCCCTGACGCTGGAGTAGTGATCAAAGCAGTCCTCAGTTTACTCTCTTAGGGGGTGATTAGGAGAGACAAGCTAGAAAACATAAATAAATGCTAGGAAGGAAAAAACGAAGCAGGGAGGAGGGGATCTGACATGGCCAGAGCTTTAAGGAAGGATGGTGGGGCATCTCGCTCAGCTGTCACTTGGGCAAAGTTCAGAAAGAAATGAGAGCCAGTGTGCAGGTGTCAGGGAGAACACAGCAAGCACAGACGTCCTGGGTGCTTGGTATGTAGGGGAGAATCCTGGGCAGGATGAATGCAGGGTTAGGCAGAGGGAGGTGATTGGGCCATGATGTCAGGCCTCACAGGTCAAGGTCAAAGTCAGCTTTTACCCTGAGTGAACGGGGAGGAAAACAGTCTGACTCAGAGCCCTCACGCTGCTGTGTGTGGGGCAGATAATTGAGAGTAGAGTCTGGACAGGCTGCAGGAGAAAACAGTTCAGCGGAAGGCACTCACCGTGACCCGTGGCTAGACCTTGGTTGTAATCTGGAGGTAGAGCTGACAGCACTTGCTGATGGATTAGAAGTGGGGTGTTAGGAGAGGAAGGAGCCAGGAGTGACTCCAAGTAGTTTGCCTGAGCAAACAAGAGGTGTGGGTGACTCTCTGCAGAGCTGGGCTTGACAGCTGGAGACTCAGAACCTCAGTTATGGACAGGGTGAGTTAGAGACAGACTGGACCTCCAAGTTGAGATGGTGAAAACCAGTTTGTCCTCTTCAGCACCCGCCTCGCCCCAGGCTGCAGCAGGCAGGCAGTCCTCACATGGCCAACGCTGAGCTCTGTCTCTTTCTCAGGAGACCAATGTCTTAGGCTTCAAGGGGCCGCGGAAGATGAGTGTGATTGTCCCGGGCATGAACATGGTCCATGAGAGAGTCTCTATCCGCCCCCGCAACGTGAGTCTCTGCCCTGCCCCACCCCTTCCCATCCCCCGGGCTCTCCATGAGCAGCTAAGGACAGAATTGCAGCTGCTGTGTGTAAGTGCAGGAGACACACTGAGGGCCCAGGGAAATCCAAGGTCCTCACCCCTGGGACAGAGCTGTCTCCTGGGAGGTTGTGGTGCCACAGCCCGGCCTTGGCTCAGGTAAGGCTGTCCTCCCAGGAGCATGAGACGCTGCTAGCCCGCTGGCAGAATAAGAACACAGAGAGCATCATCGAGCTGCAAAACAAGACACCGGTCTGGAACGACGACACCCAGTCCTACGTGCTCAACTTCCACGGGCGCGTCACTCAGGCCTCCGTGAAGAACTTCCAGATCATCCATGGCAATGACCGTGAGTGTCTGCCCCTGCTCTCTCCCGTCCACACGATACCCGGCACCCTTAGCTCAGTTAGGCTCACCTGGCCCAGCCCATACTGGCCAGAGTTGAAAGGCCGGGGTTGCAGGGCTTCACTCGAAGGGAAGGACAGGCTGACCACGGCTGGGAGGGCCTGGAGGACGCTCCCTGAGCCCTGCCCCCCTTTCTGTGCGCTCGGCAGTCCCGTGCACGGGGAGGCCCTCTGAATGCTCTTTCCCCTCTCCCCACTCCCGTTTGTGCTCGCCTTTCCCCTTTGCCATCTCCCCCCCCACCCTGTTATGCCTGCTTCGATTGCCTCCGCATCTCTGTCACTTTCTTTTCCGTCTGTGGTTTGGGTGTCTGTCTTCCACATCTCCTCCTTGCCCTGCCCTCTGTCTGTCTCCCTGTCTGCGCCCCTGCCCGGCTCCAGCGGACTACATCGTGATGCAGTTTGGCCGGGTCGCGGAGGACGTGTTCACCATGGATTACAACTACCCACTGTGTGCACTGCAGGCCTTTGCCATTGCCCTGTCCAGCTTCGACAGCAAGCTGGCCTGCGAGTAGAGGCCTCCTCGTGCCCCTCGGGGTTGCCCAGCCTGGAGTGGCGCCGCTGCCTGCCGTGGAGACAGCCCTGCCTGCTCTCTGTACATAGGCCTCCTGCCAGACTAGCCTCTGGCTCTCAGTGGGCTCCCTGGCCCAGCCAGCCAGGACCTGGCCCCTCAGTCTTCTCTTCCAAGGCAGAGGAGGCAGTGGGTGTGTGTGAGGAGGGACCAGAGTGTATTATTTCTGAGCCCCAAGGTCCACACACACCCACATTCAGGTTGGTCCTGCTGCAGTGGTGTTTGCCATGGGGGTGACCCCTTCAATAGGGAAGGCAGGAAGAGGCGTAGTGGGAGAGGAAGCACAATGCAGGGTTGCGGGCCCACCTTCCTTGCAGCCCAGGAGTCGGAAGGCGGCAGGACCCCACAGCGAGGGCGCAGTGAGTGCGTGTCCATGTGGGGGTATGGCGACCCGACCCGGCAAAGTGCGTGCTGACCAGGCTGGCCCTTCCAGCTGCAGAAAGTTCTCCAACTCCAGAAAACCTTAGCCCAAACTGGGAAAGGTTATGGGGGGTGGGGTGGGGGTGGGGATCGGGGGTCCTTGCTGGGACTGCAGAGACCTCACTGTAGTTGACTGGTTATCGGCTGCAGGTTCCTGCTCACAGGTGTCTCTCTAGGTTTTCTCTGTGCTCTCAGGCAGCGCAAAGCTGGCCCCTGAGGCCTGACGTCTGAGAGAACAGAGCCCGCGGGACACAGGCTCCCTGGATGGGGCCTGACCTGAGAGCCCTGTTGGCTACCCCATGAGCACTCTGCCCAGCAGCCCCTGCACAACCCCAGGAAACGGGGGCCCAGGTTCCCCACCCGGCCTGCACACAGATCCGTGCCTGGGGGCTCCTGTTGGCACGGCACTATTCCTAAGCCCTGGCTCACCCCAGGAAGGAAAGACCCAGCTTCAGGTACTCTTTGCAGCCCTTTGGCTCCCACTAAGGTCGTGGTTGCTGAAGCTTCTGTGTGTAGTTCGGGTGGGAATAGTACAGGGAGAAGACGGCAGGGAATATTGGGATCCAAGAGATCAGAGGAAGCAGGGCCCTGAGAGATCAACTAGAACCGCCCTGTCGCTTCTGGTGGATCATGCTTGGGACACAGAATGCAGAACCCAGCTTCCTCAGTTCCTTTGCTCCAGTCTCCCCCAAGAAACAGCTACCCCTGGCTCTCTGGCCTTCCTGGGACTCAGTTCACACATCCTCCTTTCGCCTTTTCCAGAGAACAAAGAATGTCAACGTTAATGTGGGGAATTGAAACCATTTCCATGGGAAGCTGGGACGCTCCCTGCTGAGGACTGCCTGGCTTTTTACAGGCCAGTCTGACCAGCACTGGCCTGTGTCCCTGAGAGGACAAGCCCTGCAAGGCGGCTGGCCTCTCTCTGCAAGTGATGGTGGGGTGTGCATGTCCAGGGCTGGGCCTGTCTCTGCCCCACCACACTTCTCTGGAGATGGCACCAGCTACCCTGAGGGCTTGGAAACGCCATGCTCTTGTCTGTCTGTCAGGTATGCCATCAGAGGCTGCTCACCTCGTTGGAAAGCAGGTCAGTGGAAAGCAGGCAGAAGGTGTTCTCCACTTCCTCACTTCAGTCTGTTTGGACAGGCTCTGTAGGATTCAAAAAAAAAAAATAAAAAACACATTTGAAACATGTCAGTGAGGCTCCGTAGTGGGTGATGAGGTTGTTTGGGCCTGGGTGGAGGTAGTGTGGGCTCGTTCCCTTGTAACCTGGAGCGCTTGAAGACAGGCATGCCTGTCCAGCTCGGACCTGCCAGCACCTCGGCAGGGGCTTCTGTCCCTGTGAGAAGCCCCTCCGGTGATGTAGTTCTCATTTACATGATGGTCTGGGTTCTAGACAGTTCTAAACTTGGGACCATTTTGAGGACGCTGGGACTCCACACTGGCGGCCCGTTTCCCAGTGAAGAGCGGTGCCATCTTCCCTCTGTCGTCCTGGCTTTGCGCTTCTTCCCTGACTTCAAGCAGAGACCTGCTGATGCTTGGGGCGATGGAAACAGAAGACTCTCAAAAGGCTGCTCAAGTTGTTTCTCTTCTATGAACAGGCTGATTTTGACCCTAGTAAGAGGGATCCAGTGGCAGGGTGGAGAAATCAGAAGCCCAGTGGGAAACTCTTGGCTTCTACTTTGTCCTCTGGTTATTAGGAGAAGAGCTGGATAGAAATTTCAGTGAGGTCAGGAACATGGACTGGGCTTCCCAGCCAAGGCATGGAGGAAGGGAGGCCATGGCATCAAAACCCCTTTTGGGCGTTGAGTGACAAGCAAAAACAGTTGAGTCACCTGCTTCAGACCTAGCCTCGCGAGGTCTGTTCTTGAAACCCCGTTCCTGTAATGCTGATTCCCTCTGACCACTGGCCTCACAGCCATGGTCCCAAAGACACAAAGCTGCCAGGGCCACTGAGACCACCTGGGCCCAGCCTCTCCCACAGTACGAGATCTTGCCTTTCTCACCCTCGACCCAGACGGCCCTTAGTGGAGCAGGGAACTCAGTGGAGTGGTCAGCCCCTAAGGGTGTGGGGCAGCTGGGGCTGAGGCAGCTCTCTGTGACTGCTGATCCCTGTGACGACTGCTGGAGCCAACCCCCAAAATTCTACACCCTCTGCCCCCAACAGCTCTGCAGAGTGGTGAAGTTCACTTGCCCAGTTCTAGCTTTTCTTTCCTTCTGGCTTCAAGGTGCTCTGTGTCTGTCTGTGTCCATGTGTCTGTGTGTACTCGGGGAAAAGGGCAATCTGCAAGCAACCAACTGAGGCTTCTTGTGATCACACTATGAGGAAGAGTAGCAAAGGAACAGGATGTAGTTATGATCACCTGTGGCTTTTCCTGTCACGCCCTTTAACCAGAAAGCATACCTGGAAAAGAGCCCACACTTTCTCCCAGCATCTCTGATCAGGAGGACACTGTCCCCTGAGTCATTTTTCACTCTGCATTACTTAAAGAAATCAGCGTGTTACACGGCATGCTTTTGGGTGAATCTGAACATATTCTAGTGAATGTGCCTTAAAAATCACGACACTAGTTCAGAAGAGGCATGTGAAGTCCACACCCATGCCGAGGATGGGCTGGGAGCCAAGCAACGTGATAAACACAGAAGACAACTTTTGGAGCCCACCTCCAGCGACAAGAAAGGTAACGATTATAGAAGCAGAAGTCCTTGCTTTCCTCACAGAGGGGTCTGCAGTGAGGGGAGAGGCGGGGCTGGCCACTCCCATGTCTGTTCTGCAAGCACAAACCCCATCTCTGGTGGGGCCCCTGGCTTTCCCTTACTGCAGTTAGCACTGGCCTTCCTCGCTAGAACTCACCATGGCCATGACATCGCTGTGAGCTCAGGCTGCCAGGAGGCTCTCAGCACATTCTTTCTGATGGCTGAGTGTGCTTTCTTGGGGATATCACGCTAGGTGGGCTTGACTTCCCTGCTGCCTGGGTCCCTTAGACCCTGCACTGCCCTGGGTCCTGGCCGGTAGGCATGAAGCTGCCCGTAGGACAGGCTGAAGGACAGACTCTCTGTCCTTGCATGCCTCCAGTTTGCAGTTCTCTGTCATCGCGGGGTAGTGGGGAGAAGGCAGAGCAGCAATATTGGGACAGTTTTGGTGTTTGAATTTTCCTACCAAGTTGAGAGAGGTAAGTTGGTTTTACAGGAAGCCCCACTGCACCTGGCTGCTTCTGAGGTTTTGAGCAAATCATATAATGTTTTGGGTCTGTTTTCTACAAATGAGATCGGGCTGACAAGCTTGTACTAGGGCTCAGTGTGTGAAAGCTAACCCTTGCTCTCATCACTACTTTCTAGCTCATCACTGTGCCTTCTTTCCTGAGACAGAAGTCACGCCCTGTCCTTTCCTCCTGGCCCTTCCTATCTCCCCCCCCCCCCCATCAAGGCCCAGACAGAGCTGGAGAAGAGACTGAGGTACTCAATGGCTCAGAAAGGGAAGGCCAAGTCTTGCCTCTGTAATCCTGCACTTGGTGACAAAAGGACTGGTCAGGATAGACAGGCAACGTTTCTCTTGCTGGGAGCATACATTTAGCCAGTTTCCATAATGCCTAGAATGTGTGTGTCTCTTTGCACAAGACTGTCTTTTCCTATTTTGGAGTGGTCAGACATTTTATTTTTGTTCAAAATTATCTGGAGTTTTAGACAAACTTGCAAAACTGTGCTTTTATTAAGTGATTTTTTGAATAAACCCTTTGGTATTCTGGAGCAAATGTATTTATTTATTGGTATGTGCAACGACAATGTTGGTATTTTCCCATGTTGACATTATGTATGTTGTAGAATTTAGTGTTTGTCTAAGTACAGAACATATATCAGCAAATTAAACTTGAATTGTTTCAACACTGCTGTGCGCTTCTTTAATCTCCACCCTGCCCACATAAAATGGAAAAAAAACTCTGTTTTCCCAATGTCGTTCCTTCCTTCAGTCCCAACTCTCAGAGAGGGATAGAAGGGTGGTAGAAACGGCATCATTGCAATTGGATCTCATGGCAGATGAGTCAAAACTGCTCCTGACCACACCCTTCCAGTTCCAGGGTAGCCAGGCCTTGCGGAGGCTGGGAAGGGCTGAAAGAGCAGCAAGATGGAGCTAAGGACTCTGGGCAGCACCTCGCTGCTTCTTCAGCTGTGCCCACTAGAAGACTCTTGCTGGAACCTTGAATGCTCCTGTGGGCCTGGCCTTAAGGACAACACAAACCAGAGAGCTGTGAAAGGTGGGGAAGGCCCAGGTGGCAGGAAGAAGATCCAGCCATTTGATCCTGCTGGCCCTACACCTGTTTCAGCAGTATGGCCATGCGTGGGTATTTTCTTTTCAGCTTGTAGCAGGTCCGCAGCCCAGAGCAAAGGAGGCTACAGTTGTGACCGGAAGCAGACATAGAAGATGAAGGCGGTCAGACTAAAGTCACCCAGAGGCTGGAGGAGGCTTCGTGTTGCCAGCACCTTCCTGGCCCGGGGACAGCCCGGCAGCTGGGCTGGGGACAGTGGTGACGTCCTTGACGGCACTGTGACAGGCACCTGCCACATACTATATACTCTGGGGCACTTTCTCAGAGCATCTCATTTAACCCTAACAGCCTTGCAAGGTAGGTATTATTCCAAATTCATGAATGAGGAAAAGATTGGTGCTTGGATCAGTCAAGGAACGAGCTAGTGCAAAAGGAGAAATTAGGAAAATGGGAAAGAAAATAAGGTTGGGCTGAGAGATGTGTATACAAATGTTCAAGGCAGAAACGTGAGCACCGCATATTCCCTTCAGCACTACCGGACAGCTGAAGTTCTAGGGTTTTCTTTGGACTATTTTCTGGGCTATGGAGGAACTTCCTAAGTAGGGTTTGTTTGTTACACCAGATTTCAAGTTTTGATGTGGCTGGGAGTGTGTCCGGCTTTCCGCATGGCCCCAGGCCTGCGGCTCTAAACGTGCAGTGAGACTAAAAAGGAAAGAGTGTTGGGTAGTAGGCAGGTTCAAGGCAATTGTTTTTAATACTTTTTCTGCAGTTGAGATACCTTTATTGTAGTATAAGTGACATACAGCATTTCAGTTTCAGGTGTACAGATACTTCAGCATGTGCAAGCACTGCAAAATGACCATCACAGTAAGTCTCTTAACCATTTTGGTGACTTTCAAGTTTCCAATGCCATGTTTTTAATTATATTCCCCATACATATCTGTGATGTATTGTAACTGGAAGCTATTCTTCCCCTTCATACACACTTGACTCCCAATCTTCTTCATTCTGGTAACTTACCTCCAATCTGTTTTTCTGTGTCTATGAGTTTGATTTTCTTTAGAGTCACACAAAAGTGAAATTATGTAGTATCTTTGTTATGTTATTTAACATAGTGCCCTCAAGGTCAATCCATGTTGTTGAAAATGGCAAGATTTCATTCCTCGTGATGGAGTAGTATTCCTTTGTGTGGATATATGCGTTACCATTTTTATCTATTCATCTACTGAGGACACTTACAATTGTTTCTGTATCTTGGTTATCACACGCTTAGTGAAAATGAGGATGCATTTATCCTTTTAAATTACTGTTCTCATCTTCTGATAAATACCCAGAAATGGAATTCGAGATATGGTGCTTTATTTTATTTTTTAAGAACCTCCGCATTGTTTTTTCCAGAGTGGCTTTACCAATCAATCTGTGTTCCCACCAATGGTGCACTAGGATTTTCTTTATATCTTTACCAACACTTGTCTTTTTGATGACAGCCATTCTGAAAGCTTTGTGGTGATGTCTTATTGTGGTTTCGACTTCATTTCCTGAGTGAAATGTGTATTCTTGATGCTGATCTTTTCATGTGTCTGTTGGATAGCTGTATGTCTTTGGGGAAATGTGTTCACTTTCCCTATCCGTATTTGAGTTGTTTTTGATTCACTGTTTTTTGAGTTGTAATACTTGTTTTAATGAATTTTGGAAACTGTTGATCAGATTATCACTTACAGGTATCTTCTCCCATCCAGTAGGTTGCTTTTGGGTGTGGTTTTCATTGCTATGCAGCAGCTCTTCAGTTTGATGCAGTCCTGCTGTTCATGCTTGCTTTTGTTCCTTGTTGGGATTCAGAGCCATATCTGAGACTGATGTCCAGAAACACAGTATGTGTTTTCTAGTTAGCGTTTCAAGACTCACACGAACCATTTTCAGTTTTTAGCATGTGGCTGTTCAGTTTTCCCAACACCACTTACTGAAGAGACTGTCCTTTTTCCCCATTGTATAGTCTTGTCATCTCTGTCTTAAGTTAATTAACCATTTGTTTGTGATTTTACTTCTGAACTCTCCAGTCTTTTCCACTGACACTTTTTAACGCCAGTCCCATGTTTTGATTACTACAGCTTTGTAATACCTTTTGAAATCAGGGAGCATGATACCCGCAGGTTTCTTGTTCCTCAAGCTTGCCCTGGCTGGTCGGGTCTTTTGAGGCACCATACAAAATGTAAGGCTTTCCCCCCCCCTATTTCTAGGGAAACTACTATTGAGATTTTCATAGGCATTACACTGAATTTGTAGATTGCTTAGGATAATATGGACATTAATTCTTCTAATCCACGAACAAGAGTATCCTTCTACTTTTTGGTGAAACTTTAATGTTTTCCATTTTTCTTTTTAAAGATTGATTTATTTATGCTTACAGAACTGGGGTATAGGGCAGAGGTGTGGTGGGTGAGAGGCTTCACCAGAGACAGAGTGGGGAGCAGAACCGGCTGACTGACAAAGTACACTGCTGAGGGGAGCATTTGGTGGGTCAGAAGAGGTCTGTCGCGCCATGTGGGTCAGCTCCCTGGCTGGGGATGGAACTCATGCTGCAGTGGCTCGGAGAGTTTCATAATGCTGTGCTTTAACCATTGTGCCACCAGGGAGAGCCCACTTTAATGTTTTTCAACAGTGTCTTGTAGTTTTCAGTGTATATAGTCTTTTACCTCATTAGTCGAGTTTAATCCTAGGTATTTTATTATTTTCAATGCAAATGAAATGGATTTTTTTAAAGAGCTGTTTATGCATGTTAATTATACATGATATATGTGTCACTTATTGTGGCCATATCTATATTTTCTTGGAAGTATGTTCCTTTTCTGGGTTATAGACCAGAGGTGCAGGGGTTGTGGGGATGAAAGGATTCCCCAGAGACAAAGTGGGGAGTAGACAGACAGATCTACTGAAATGTACTGCTGAGGGCAGCATCAGGCAAGACAGGAGAGGTCTGCCACATCATGTGGGTTACCTCCGTGGCCGGGGATGGAACTCATGCTGCAGTGGCTGCCAGCAGCTTCATAGTGCTGAGTCTTAACCACTAGGGAGGCCCTGAATTCCCTTTCTGATATTTAATTTTCTGATACTCAATTGTTGGTATATAGAAACACAATAGGTTTTTTTGTATATTAATGTTGTATCCTGCCATTTTACTGTATTTATTATTTCTAACAGTTTTTGGTGGTATCTTTAGAGTTTCCTATGTGTAAAACTATGTCATTTGCTTTTGCTAGATCTTCTAAAACTATGTTGAATAAAAGTGGTCTCATTCTATATCTTTGAGGAAGTTTTCACTGAGTATTTTAATTGTACATCTCCTATAAGGCCTTTATTAGTAAGGCCATACTTAGAACTTCTTGGAGGTACTTTCCTTCTCTGCCCACTATATTGAGAATTTTTATCATTAATGGATGTTGAATCTTACCAAATGCTGTTTCTGCATCTATTCAGATGATCAGGATTTTCATCCTTTATTTTGTTAATGTCATATCATGTTGATTTTTAAGATTCTGAACCATCCCATGCATCCCTGGAACAAATTTCACTTCATTATGGTGTATAATTTTTTCACTGTATTGCTGAAATTTCTTTGCAAATACATTGAATTTTTCATCTGTGTATATTAGGGATACAAGCCTGTAATTTTCCAACCCTGGCTGATTATTGATTTCTTTGCAGTTTGTGGTTGTACTGTTTCAGTCTCCATACTGGTGATTGGTTGATCTGACCTGATTTCTACTTCTTCATGACTTTCTTAAAAGGTGGTTTGCTTCTAAAAATGTATCTATTTTGGAGGGGGGCTGTCTAATTTGTTCACCTATAGATATTCATAGCAGTCTTTCCTAATTCTCTGTATTTTTGCAGTGTCCACTGTGATTCCTGTTTGATGTTATCTGAAGCTTTTTTTCTTATTCTAGCTAAAGGCTTGTCAATTATTATGTTTTCAAAGATTAATTGGCCTTTTCCTTGGACTTTTTGGTCACTTATTTCTGCTCTGATTTTTATTTCCTACCACTGACTTTAGGTTTTCTTTTTCTTCTTGCTGTAGGTGTGAGGTTAGAATGTATCTGGTGTTCTTCTTTAATATTGTTTAAGCAAATTGTTTAATTTCAACCGTATTATTTAATCTCCACATTGGCCTTATTTTTTTTCCAGCTTTCTTCTTGTAACTGATTTGTTTCCATACCATTGTGGTAGAAATGTTTGATATGGTTTCACTCTTAAATTTGAGACTTGTTTTATATTATGATATACAATCTATCCATGTGTACTTGAGATTATGTATCCTGTACATTAAGTTCATCCAGTCTAATGTGTTATTTAAGATGTCTCTAGATAATCCATCCATTGATATATGGGATATCTAAAAGTCCCCCACTTTATGACTTGTGTTGCTGTCAATTTCTCCCTTTAGGTCTAATAAGTTTTGCTTTGTTTTAGTGTCCTTCTTGGCAGAATGACCCTTTTGTCATTATTAATGTGTATCTTCTGTCATATTAGGCTGACTATGAACATGAGTGAAATTAGTTTCTTTTTTTTGAGGCAACATTGTATACAATATTGATTAGGTTTTAGGGGTACAGCTTCTCACCTCAGTAACTGTACCATGCCCACTAAGCAACTGGCTTCCCCACCTTCCCCCTTTGCCACCCCTCCCCACTGTGTACCGGCTGTCTTTCTCTCTCCTCACTTCTAGTCTGCGCATCCTTACACTGGACGTGGATCTCCGGTTGTCAATAGGCCGCATGTAGATGGGGCTCGTGTTTTATCCATTAAGCTACTGAGAATTTAGTCCAATTTATATTTTAAAGTAATTGTCAGTAGGTACATGTTTATTTCCATTTTGTTTTCTGGCTATTATATAATCCCTCTTTTCCTCTGTTCTTCTCTTGTTCACTTCCCTGTGAAGTTTGATGACACTTGTTATGTGTAGATTGCATTTACATTGTTTCTACTACAGATTGTTGCTTTGTTGTTAGCAGGAAGTTCACATGACAGCCTTTGTATATAAAATTTTATTGTTTATAAGTTGACAGCAACTTAGTTGAATTCATTCTAACAGTATTTTTACTCTTTCAAGCCCATTTTGTTTCTGATATCATTTAAAAAAATCTAAGTATACGCTGACTGGTTGAGGTTTTTGTTATGCTTTTTATACTTTTAGCAGGAGATTTTTTTGCTTCCCATGTTTATTTGCTACTAGTCTTGTGAGGCTGGTTGAGTGGTGAAGTTGTTAGCATTTTTCTGCCTGAGAAACTATCTTTTTTAGTTCTGATTTGTTGTGTCCATGGAAGGAAATAAGGTCAGGATTTTCCTATCCTGTTGCCTTGAACCAACTCTCTAACAAATCTTTTAGATGGACACAGATCCACGATAGTCCTGGTTTACAACCACTGTCCTTGCATAATTATTGCTAGAGCTGTCTTTTTCCCTGTGTCCCGGTTAGGACCATAGTTGTTTGCTCACCCAAGCCATGGAAGGCACAGAGTGTGGTTCTCACAGGCCTCTACCCCTCAGTTTACCCCCCCTGAACTTGGCTTCCAGATCATAAACATCACTAGCCCTGAGCAACTGAAGCACTTTCCTGTTAGCGCCAGGAGGAGATCATTAGGCTAATCACCCACCTATGTCACCAACTGTGGTCCCATAGGGTGGGCTTGTTTCCTAGGCCAAGTGCCTGCTCCCACAGGTCTGAATCTGTACTCTGTGGCAGATCAAATGCTGCACCAATGCAGAGAAATGAAGGCCATGAGGAAAGAGGCAGCAGGCAAAAATCAAAAGCCAGACCCACTTTTTGGTCAGCCCATTCAAAATGATTGCATTAACATTCAGAATAGTTGGCTCTGTGATACCTTACATACCAGCCTTATCAAAATTCTACAGCATGACTTTCTATCAAGAATGTCCTTTCTCATCCTTGTGAACCTCCTTGGTAAAGTCTCTAGGAAATACAGAAGTAAATTAACTACCACTTAAGTAGTTAACGCTTATGATAGGACCAGTGCTACTTTACAAGTCCTGATTATTTCATTTAGTCTCATAACCAGCCCACAAGAGCTAGGCTTACTCACCTACCTGGGATGTAAGAAAAATCAAGGCTTAAAGTTAAGGAGCTATCTCAAGCTTCTACACATAGAATAGGCTGGGTGGGATCAAGCAACACCTCTCTTCTGAAAAACTCACAATCTTGAACCCACTTATAGTTCATTTAAAAGTAAATTGGATGAGACCCCCATATTAAACCGCATATTTTTAAAGGTGGGAATTGAGCTTTTTCCAGTGTCTCTCTGAGTGGTGTATAATAAATGAACAGGCTAAAAGGATCTAACATGTACCTCTAACTGGAGAATTCTATCCTAAGCCAAAAAGATGAGGAGAATCCAGACTCCCTGGTTCAAATAAATGCACCCATCAAAAAAGGAGAGGGACAATTTATCATCACAGTGAAGAGCACCTACCTTGTTGTTTTTAGTGCATTTTAAATTACACTCTTTATAAGTGAATCAAATGTTCTACATGGAGATAGATGCAAACTATTTTCTATAGACTCACTTTCAGTGACTTAACAAGAATGCCTAATCTTGTCTAGATGAGGCCACACCTGACAGCAGTTGGTAAGCTTATCATGTGATTAAAACTATTTCCCAGGCATCTCATTTGTACCAATTGTGCCAGGCATAATGAACTCTAAAAGCCATTCGGCCTTTACATAATTTGCAGGCTTTCTATATTTTATGACTGGGGCTGTCCTTAGGTGTATACTTACTTTAAACTCAGGTCATACAGGTAAACCTGAATCCATTCATCCTTCTTAGGTTCACAAGTGCCATGTTAAGATAGACCTAGCAGTTTAGACATTAGGCCTTTGGTTTGGTCAGAACCCCTTCAGTTCTAATCTACTTGTTACTTTTTCTCCAGTACTATCAAATGAACCAGATATCCAAATAGTGAAACAAATGGTCTCCTCCTCTGGCACAGCAAATTGGAACTCTGCAACTTCCCTGCTGGGCTGGCAGATTACATGCTCAACCTTTCTTGTTTCACTTCATATGGTTTAAGAACAAACTTTCCTGGCATGACACACAGGTAAGTACAGTCCATCAGGACATGCTTCCTTGTCACTGGCCCCTTGACCTTCTGACATCTCATGGCAGGACACCACTAGGGCAGGCTTTCCCACAGCTGCTAATGTCTGCAAGGCAAAAACTAGTTTATCTAAAATTCTGCTGGCTGCTGAAGGTCAGAGGTGCTTCTGGATTTAGCAGTTCACTTAAGCAGAGCATAGGTGAAAGAAACTAGAGATCCAGGTAGTATCTGAGCCCAATAGAGCTCTGTATTCATTCTCAGGTCAGTGGGAAATGCTACTCTGGTGAAAGGTATCTGAGGTCATCATTGCTTTCCTTTAAGACAAAAACAAGGCCCTCACTGTGTAGGAAGGGGCTTCAGCTCAAACAATAGCCTTACCCTGCTCTGGCCCCATTGTCCTCATAAAAATGTTTTCCCAAGCCCAGGGACAACCAACCTGCTCAAGGCCCAGACAATAAGGAGACTTGGAATTGAAATCTTCATTCCTGCAACTATGAGCCTCATCATGCGAAAGGTGACATTTGCTCCCAGGTAAGACATCTGTTACTCCTACAACAGAGCCAGACCTCTGTCCTGCAGTCCCACCTATAATCACAATAGAATAAACATAATGCCCTGATGGCTCAACTCTGATGGAGGGAGAGACTGAAGCTGTCTTGTTCACAATGGTCTGTTTTACAAGGTGACAGGTGTGTAAGATACATGACATCTATGGTTGTGGCTACTGGCTATGGTATGTGAACATAGGAAGTATGGGAAACAGGGCAGAGAATGAAATCAGAGCAGGAAAAGGTCACCCCAGGACAATAGTAGCAGATTTCACCAAACTGGCTGTTTTCATTCTAAACCCTGTGGGTTCCGCCTCCTCAACATGCCACCTCTATATGCTGCCATCTTGGTGTTGACGCTCATTCCTTCGTCTCTGAAGTCTTGGGGCCATACTTCCTTGGTGGTTTCTTCCTGCTCACTGTGACTGTCTATACTGAATTCTGTGTTTTCTGCCAAGACAGCAGGATCCTCTTCTTCATGAAAATGGCAGGAACATGCTTTTGGCTTTGAGTCAGAAGAGTGAGCAGAATTATCTTCCTGGGCAATGGGGTCAGTGGGCATTTCCCAACCCACATGGTCTGAGTCTTCTGTGAGCACTCCCATTCTTTCAGCTATTTCTTCAGCAGAAGGTTCTCTTGGGTCAGGGTAATCCACCAGGATGCTTTTGTGCTTACGTTTGATGCAATCTGAAATGTCGTAAACTGGGTAAGTCTCTTCAGGGTAACCTAGAGAGAAAGTAGTAGAAAGCCTAATAAAGACTGTGTCAAAACAAAATACCAGCCTTAAAGAATATTCTTGGGTAGCAGCTGGCCTAGTCTAACAAACCCATTTAAGAACCCTCTAAGACAACACTGAAGTTTCACTTGAGAAAGTTCTTAAAGATCTGGTTGACACTTGAAAATCCCTCCTTATGTACAGGGTGCTGGGGGCAGAGTGTCAGTCTCACATCTCATGCTTCCTCAGTAGTGACAAAGATTCTACAAGGGCCTCAGTTTAAAAAAAAAAAAAAAAGGTACTGAACACCAGATGGAGAGAGCATAGCTCAAGGCTAATGTTTATCATTTCTATTTGGAACCATTTCCAAACCTTCCTAGCGGGGTGAGAGGGGAGGAAGCAAGGAACATGGAGCACCAAACTTGGTTATCAAAACAACTGAAATGGCTTGCAAGTGTCAGAAACAGAGAATGCTTTAGCAAGACATGCCCAAGATCCCAGAGGACGAGCACTGCATTTTCAGAAGACAGAATTCCCATTGTGGACTTCTTCGTCTTCACAAAATGGAACAAAAGAAAACAAGGCTGGTAAACAAAATGAGTAATACTGTACTGAATCCCAGCTATGATAATGAAGAGAGAAAATGTTGCCAAATTAAAAGAAATGAAGTAAGTCTGTGTCAGCCAAGCCTGAGCAGCAGACGGGCCACGCTGGAGCGCCAACACCAGGCCTGGCGAGAGCCGCTGCCCATGGTGCTGCGTGAAAGCTCAATGCCCATGTGCACGCTGTGATAACTGGCAAACTCGGCCCTAAGGTAAATTGCTTTTTGCTTACAAATTCTCAAGAGTAGGGATATTTTTTAGTGAAGTGTAGAGCATGGAGAGACATTTTTACCATTTACCCTCCTTTTTTTCCCCTGTTGTAAAAGTCATGCAGATTCACTGTAAGAATTTGCATAAGAAAATTTCAGTATACGTTTTAAAAAGAAAACACTGATAATTTGTTGCATTATATTACCCTGACCCTTTTATCATGTATAAACATGTTTATTTTTTCTAATGATCATATTCTACATAAAATACTGCATGTACCCTGATTTTTTTCATGGGCATTTCTCCATGTATTAGGCATTTTTAAGCCTGACTGCAAAATATCCCCTCATAAATGAGATCTCTGAATATAAATCCATATACACACTTCCCTATCTTTCACACTTCTAGAAACATGAAAACTAGACCATTTTTATACTCTGCCAAATTACTTTATGCAAGAATAGTACATTTTTAGTCCGACCAGTGATGTAAACTGTCCATCATCCTTCTTCCTTACCAGCACTGACAGGAATCTTGCGTCTGGGAATTGCAAAGCTCACTAGCTGCAGATGGAATGCTGAGCAAAAGGGAGATCAGGCAGCTTCCCGGGTCAAGGGCAGGTGTTGTGATGTTGACTCACTAGTGGGCCTCAGCCACTGGCAGCTTTGAAGGACTTCTTTTTCTGACATGTTCTTGCCTTCTCCCCACACCAAAAACAAACCTTACCTTTGGATTCTCAGGGCTATTCTGCTTTAAGATGGGGTGGCTTGCTGAGGAAATCAAATAGTAATATTTGCTGAGGTAGCCAGTATCAGCCAACATTTATGGTTACTTGAAGACTCCATTAAAAATAGGAGCAAGCGGGCCCTCTCTGGTGGCACAGCGGGTTAAAGCCCAGCACTGAGCAGCTAAAGCCACTTCCGCATGAGTTCAATCCCCGCCTGCCCCGGAGGTGACCACATGGCGCGTCAGACCTCTCCTGACCCGCCCGCTGCTCCCCTCAGCAGTGTACTTTGTAGATCTGCCTGCTCTGCTCCCTGCTCTGTCTCTGGTGAATACTCTCACCCTCCATATCTCTGACCTGTACCCCAGTTCTGTATGAATAAATAAAATCTTTAAAAAAAAAAATAGGAGCAAGCAACAAAAATTCACTGGTCATGTAAAGAAATTAACAAAATAAGGAAGTGTTTCTATGCAAATGATATAAATAGCCCCTGAAAAGGAGTTGACATTAATCCCTGGTTTTAATACTACTTAAGAAGCCATTGCATAAAGCCAAACCATACTTCAATATGAAGGGAGGAAAATGAAGGAAGTTTAATTTTATTTCATAATTAGGATTTCCTGATAGCTTAACAGGAGAAGAAAAAAGGTTAAAATACTTGGTTTTCAGTCATATCCACAAGTCCAAGTTAAGGCATTATCCTAGGATAACGATATAAATGACCAAAAAAATTAACTTCAGGATATCCAGTCACCAAATTACTGAAATTCTACAATGAGAAGGTAAAGTAGGTTACATAGAACTAATCAAGAAATTGTAAAAAAAAAAAAAAAAATTAGCCAAAGAAAGACTACTCACTGCTCTATATTAGGGGATTAGGGGGTGGGCATGGTATGTATTTAAATATTATTACAAAGATACAAGTGGTAACAATTATTAAGAATTATCGATGTAAAATCATTGAAAAGGTTATAACGTTACTATCATTGCTAATACTTAAAAAAAAGTCTATCTTCAAAAGTTAGTATTACTTGCAGTTAACATTCCACAAATTTGTCAACAAAATCTAAGGCAAGTAGAAAATAAACAATGATTTTGCCTTATTTGGGAACAAGGTTTATGATTTGTAATTTGTAGGAAACAAGGAATCCCAACTTTTATTGATTAGTAAATGTTTTTTAAGTAGTTGTAGATTTTATAGACACACTATTTGTTCTCATATATACTATAAATGTTATAAATGTTAAACTGTGGTTCTGTGATACACAGAAGTGGAAAGAAGTGTCTTCAAGCCACATTAATTTCTTAAAAGCAATGCAAGAAGTAGGTGATCTTATTTAAAATAACTGGACTCACATGCAGTTTCAAGAAATGATCCAGAACATTTTTCCCACCACAGCAATCCCTTTTCTGGTGAGAGCTACTCCTTTTTATCCCACCCACTCCTTAACCCCTGTTCTAGCAAGTACTATCTCTGTTCTCTTTTTCTGTTTATGTCACATTTTAATAGAACCACACAGTATATCATAACTTCCGAATTCCCTTCTTCATCACTCAGCGTTACCTGGAAATCCATCCAGTTTGTTGCATGTGTCCGTGGTCAGCCCTCTGTTGATGAGTCAGTCATCACAGTTTAACAGGTACCAGCTGAAGGATGTTAGGCTGTTTGAGGGTTCTACAAATAGTCTATAAATATTCATGTACAGGTTTTATGTGAAGGAGGTCTTACTTTTTCTGATCTCAGGAGTATAGCAGTTTGTACAGCAGCTGCATGTTTTGTTTCTTTTTTTTAAGTGCATGAGCATCTGTATTACTTTACACCCACAGCGGCACTTGGTGGTGGTATGGTTTCTCAGTTCTGATAGGTATGTGATCATATCATTGTAATTTTCATTTCCTTAGTGACTAACCATGAACATCTCTTCATGTGCTCATTTGCAGTTGTGTGTCCTCTGTGGTGAAATGTCTATCTTTTGCCTGTGTGTTTTTAAGATTTATTTACTTTATGCATACAGAACAGGTAGAGTGATGAAGTACACTGCTGAGGGGAGCAGAGGGTGGGTCACCTCTGGGGCCAGGGCTCTAACTTGCACTGAAGCTGCTGGCTTGCGTCCTTACCCATTGTGCCACCAAGGAGGGCCTTTTGCCTCTTTTTTTTTTTTATATGAATTTTTCATTAAAAAACTGCTTCTGATGTCAAGTTTAAGAACTATCTAACTCTGGACCCAAAGATTTTCCTAAAAGGTTTATAATTTTACATTTTGCATTTAGGTCTACTATCTACCTTTAACCTTTTATAATGTATGAAACTTAGGTTGTGTATATTTCTATGGGTCTATTTCTGGTTTCTCTGTTCTGATTCTGACAATCTATATTCTTATACTAAACAATAATTACTGTATTGTATAATGCTGGAATCAGATGGCAGGTTGCTCTTCCCTATCTTATTTCTTCTGTTTCATTTTAGAATAAGCTTGTCTGTATCTACAAAGTGTCTTGCTGAGATTTCAACAGGGATTATGTTAAGTCTTGTCACTTTTGAGAAAAAGTAACATTTTCTATGGTTTTCACCATATAAGTCCTATATGCCTTACTAGTACGGTTTTTAAAAAATAGCCAGAGTAGAGGCTGTTCTGGATTCACCCTAAAAAATCCTAAAATGTTTTAAGAGGGTCCAATATACCAAGAAGAAGTTTCACTATTTAGAATACAAAAACCAAATTCACTAGACACAAAACTGAAACCTGTAAGATAAGTAGTCAAGACTGTTCAGAAGTTGTTATAAATATGCCTTATGTTTAAAAAGGTAGAAGAAAATGTGAATATACTAAGGGAAATGAAATTATTGCTAAATGACCCAGAAGGAACTTTTAGAGATAATACAATATTTGAATTAAAAGTACATTGAAAGATGAAAAGTAGATTTATATACTGCAGAAGAAAATAGTAAATTTGAAAACACAGCCAGAAAACAAGGACAGTCCATACATGGCATGGTGGTAATACAGACATCATTAATAATGACCAAAAAGTAGTTTGAAAATCAAAGTTCCTACCTTAAAAAACTAGAAAAACATCAAATGAAACTGAAATGTAGTTCTTTGATAACAAAGTTAATAAACCTCTGACTAGGACAAAACATTATTTCCTTGAAAGAAAAACTGTCAAAGCTCTCTCAAACAGTTTAACAGTACTATTCAGGTTAAAATTCACTTACAGTTATGTGTGTCTCCCAATGAAGAAAACAAGGCCCAGATGGTATCACTGGAGAATTGCATCTAACCATTTAAAGAATAACAGCAATTCTATAAAAACACTTCCAGAAAGTAGACCATATCCCAATGCATTTTATGAGACCAGCATTATGCTGAAATCAAGATCAGGGACATTATGAAGAATATTGATCTGTGGTTTTCTATTCCTATAAGCACAAAAAACCCTTAGAAAATTTAATCTAGCCATATATATCATGAAAAAGTAGGATTTATTCCAGTTAACAAAGCTGTTGAAACATTCAAAACCAATGTAAATCATATTGCCAGACAAACAAAACTATAATCCTCTCAGTTGATTAAAAAGCATTCACAATTTAAAACTCAGCAAAATAAGATTAGTAGGCATTTCTTCAACCTGTAAAAGGATGGCCTTGAGAAACCAACAGCTCACATCATTCTAGTGAAGAAAATATGAATGCATTCCCCACTAAATATCAGAAAAATGAACACTTTTGTTCTTACTATACCTATCCAGTATATCGTTTTAGAGGACCTAGTCAGTGCAATTGGTAAAATATGTTGGAAAGGAATGCAAAACATTCTTTCAGATAATTTCATTGCTTATGTAGAAAATCCTAATGAAAAAAACTAATTCTGGCCCTCCCTGGTGGCGCAGCGGGTTAAAGCACTACACTGAGAAGCTAAAGCCACTTCTACATGAGTTCGATTCCTGCCTGCCCCGGAGGTGGCCACATGGCGTGGCAGACCTCTCCTGACCCACCCGCTGCTCCCCTCAGCAGTGTACTTCCTCGATCTGCCTGTTCTGCTCCCTACTCTGTCTCTGGTGAAGCCTCTCACCGCCCCTGAGCCTCTGGCCTGTACCCCAGTTCTGTATGTACAAATAAATGTTTTAGATCTGTGTGCTAAAACCTACAGAACACTGTTGAGGAAGATTTTAAAAATCAATGGAGAGATAAAACGTTCAAGGACTACAAGATTCAATATTGTCACATCAGTTCTTTTCAAATTGATTTAAAGATCACTATAATGCCAATCCAAATTCCCATTGAATTTTTGGGAAGAATTGGACAAAATGATTCTAGATTTAAATGAAATTGTTAAGAGCCTAGGGTCACCAAAAAATTTTTGGAAAAGTAAACAAAGTCAAAGAACTTGTACTGCCTGATTTCAAGACTTAATGTAAAGACAACAAATTAAATACACTGTGATAGTGGGAAAATAACATAGCCCAATGAAACAGAATAGTTTAAAATAGACTCACACATACATGGTCAACTGATTTTTCAGTCAACAGTATGTTGGTAATTAAATGTAACAAATCACCTGGAACCAAGGACACTATGGGGAAAAAGTAATTAATTTAAAATGGATCACAGGCCAAAATGCAAGAGCAAAACCCATAAAACTTCTCATAGAAAACATTGAGGTTAGGCAAAGATATGTGAATCACAAAGGGATAATGATAAACTGGACTTCATCAAAACAAAAACTTCTGTTCTTTGAAAGATGAAAGTCAAAAGGCAAGCTATAGGCTATGAAAACTTTGCAACGTGCACCATCAATAAAGATATTATCCAGCATGTATAAAGTGCTCATATCTCAATGAAAACACAACCCAATTTGAAACATGGCAAACAATGTGAAGAGACACTGCCAGAGATATACAGATGGCAGACGCATGAGAAACTATTCAATGTCATCAGACATTGGGGGACTACAAATCAAACTCATGACTGAGATACAACTATACACTGAGACAGCTAATATTTAAAAGACTGACAACACCCAGTGTTAAGAAGGATACAGAGTAACTGCAAGTCTCTACCACTACTGATGGCAAAATGGCAGAGCTACTCTGTCAAGCCAATCGACGATTTCTAATAAATTTGAATTATTTACTTACTATAAAACCATGCCCAGGTATACACTCCAAAGAATTATAAATACACATCCAAATAAAACCTTGCACATAAAAGATTAGGCTATTCTGAATTAAGCTACCATAAAACTGGAAACAAACCCAAATATTATGCAATAATTAAAGAAAGTGATATACTCAACACAATACTCTCAAAAGCATTATACTAAATCAGAGAAGCCAAAAACAAGAGCATGTGCCCATGTGACCCATTCATATCGGAAATGCCAAAGATAGAGCCACAAAGCAGCTCCTTGCCTGGGGCTCGAGAGTAGGTGCAGAGGGGGAGGGAACTTTTTGAAGTGATGGAAGTGTTCCATATCATGACTGGAATAATTACACAACTCCACTTTTGTCAAGTCTTAGAACTGTACACTCAAAACGGGTGCATGGTGTCATCTATATCAGCAATAAAGCTGTTCTTTAAAATATGTGTGAGATCTCTTTTGGGGGCTGACAAAGGAATGAAAAGATACTACTTACCTTCCCAGTCTTCCATGTAAGGGGCCTCCTCAGCTTCTTTCTCTGGAGAGGGTCTGTCAATGAATTTTCCTTCTTTCATAACCCTGGTAATTTCTCGGAGCTGATGCAGTAACCGCTTTTCTTGGTCTGAAGTCACGGTGTGTGCTCTGCTTAGAGATAACAGACAGTGCAGCCAGTCAGTGTAAATATTCAAAGGCAGAGAACATAAACGTCACTACAACCTGTCTCCTTGAAGTCCAACAGCAGCAGATAATTATTCTGGGAACTCATCCTGGAATTACATAGTTGGTAACTAGCTGTGTAAGTTCAATGCTTTGATTCTATAAATGCAAAAATGAAGGCCCAGAATAGATCAAGTGGTGGCTTGCAGTCCCACGATGAGTTAACATCAAAACTGGGATCAGTCCCCAGATGTTACAGGTGTGCTTTTAATCTGCCTCTGCTCACATTCTCAAATCTCCAAGCATTTTCACTGTTACATTACTATGGCTATATCATCATTTGCTTCTCAATTCACCAGTTTGGAAACATTTGGGCTTTTATCCAGCTTTATAGTAGCTTGATTCTGAATAGCCTAATCTTTTACATGCAAGGTTTTATTTGAGTATGTAGTTTTATTACAAGGGACTTTTCTCTAAAACAAGGCCATCAAAAGAAAAAGCATGCTGCACCATTAACCCCAAGTAGTGAAAAATATTCTATGAGGCCAACCTTAGCCTCTTCAAACTTAGCCTACATGTTCAGAACATGTCATGTCAGTTATAAAGAAATAACCGAAAATATCAATTGGATCAGTGTAACAATCATCTAGGCCAGAGAAATTGGAGAAACCAAGGCCCACAGAAGGAAATTTCTATATTTACAATATCTATTATCAAATCAAAATTTATCATGCAAAGAGGGCTCACAAGAAAAAGTAATCAATAGAAACAGACTGCAAAATGAAACAGAGGAAGATCAATAATCAAACCATTCAGAAGTTGCTATAAATATGCCTTGTATGCTTAAAAAGGTTGAAGAAAATATGAATACACTGAGGGAAATAGACTGCGGTTTTAAGAACATAAATAGCCTCTGAAATCCTGTGATTGTATAAAACTGGTCCCAGGGCAGAGTTCTCAATTTTATGAGTAGGATCCACCCCCAAATTCAGCGGGCTTGCTAGCACTATGGCCTTAGGACAGCATCCTGTGCAAATCCCAAAGCACAGTGCGTAAGGTCCCGCCATGGTTGAGAAAACCTGAGCTTCAGCCCCAACTTGGCTGTCTGGGCAAATACCTGCAAACCTAAGAGTGGCTTAAGGATATGAGTGTGGCCGTTTTCTTTGAAAGGCTCAACCCTATTTCTCCACCTCACAATCATGGCCTCAAGAAATTGACCCTGTACTACAGAGCAAACCATCACTCTATACAGATGTCTGGTGTAGGGTAGACAGGCCCTACTCAGAAAACTGAGAACACTGCTCTTGGGGCCAGTTTCACATGACAGCAGATTTAACAGAGGCTATTTGTGCTTTTAAAGCCCCCAAAGTATTCAAGGTCAGTACAACACTCATGAGGAGAAAATGTTAAGCTCTCTGCCAGCTGTGTGGACATACCATCTATTTTCCAGTAAGCCAATTCTCAGCATTTTTTCTTTTTTATACTAGCCTAGTAAACTTTAGTTTTAATGTCTGTGGGAAAAAGAAAACACCAGATATGACAATGGCAATGAAGTTATAACATCTTCAGACCTCAGTGGGAGGAAAATAAACCCCAGGAACTCTACTTCCACACTAAAAGTCATCAAATTCACAAGCTGAAAAAGTCTGTTGCATAGTCAGCTAAAAAACTAACATTTATTGGGCCTCTTACCAGACTACTCTTCCTGACGTCACACTGCTCACGGTTCCACATAAAACCTAATTCTTACAACAGTCACCTTTGTGGGAAGCTTCTGGGGCAGGGGTGCCCAGCCAGAAGAGACTATGCTTATCACTGAGCTCTTGCCCTCAGTCTGCACTAAGTGCTTTCTGAGCTTTCCTGAAGAGAACAGTCTTGATTATGTTTCCCAACTTAATTCAGAGGGAAGTCTAGGTTAGGAGAAGCAAACATCAAGAAAAACTTCCTCAAAGAAATAAAAAACAGTGTCTTGGTCTTGCGTATTCCTGTTTTCCTTACAAGCCTCGGGCAGTTCATCATGACCCACTTTATGTTTCTGAACATATCACAATGAGCATCTCAGGGATTCTTTATTATCTTGACTTGGTGTTACACCCCTGAAGGTCAGTGACCCAGTCATAACAATACAGGCACAGTGCCATGTACATCTCCGTGCTTGATAAATTTAGTTCAATTGGCCTCCATTCTTCTCTACTCATTTCCTACCACCTCCTTAGAATTTGGCTTCCCATTCATCATTTTATCAAAATTTGTGAAAATTAATGACCACTCTACTCTCAAATCCAAGTCTTTTGCTCACATTTCATTCTTTTTAACTTGTCTGTTCTGTGGGTAATTTGCTGAACACCCTCCTTCCGAGGCTGCTGATACATATGTGCTCACCCCGTCCCTTTTATTTCTGATCTTGGCTCACTTTCTTTTGACCTCTTAAAACAGTTTTCCTGAAGGCTCAACTCTGTTTCTCCATCTTACCATCATGCCCTCAATAAACTGACCCCATATTGCAAATTAAACCATCACTTAACACTTAACGGATGTCCAAAGTCTGTCTAATTTTGACTTTTTACACAATGGCCAGTTTCATAACCCCTCTGATCTGGGCATTTCCATTAGGAAGCTTTGCTATGAAGAAATCTTAAATTCACCTTTCAAAACAGTTCCTAGTTGGCCCAACATCATGAACAGCTGCAGGAATGGCAGGCTAGGAGAGGCTGGGCATGGCAGACTCCAAGATGTTAGAAAATAAAGTTGAGAGATAACCTCATCAGGCTTTTTTTTTGAATTCTATAAACCCAGAGGAATCATCGAGTTCTGAACCTAAGCCTTAATCACCGAGAGAATGAAACCGTTTCTTATACCACCATTCACAGAAAGGAATTCAGATCAGCAAAAACCTGCATGCTGCCACGACATGGTATGATAGGGCTTAAGGATGTGCCTCACTTTCCCTGTGCGCCTTTCCTCTGACCCTGACCTTCGGGTTTCCAAACTTGTGTCCTCTGTTCTTACTCTATTACACAAATTTCCATTGTGCAGTATTATATAGATGCTCTGATGACACCTCAGCTATAAGCAAGGCTGCATACATGATTCCTAACCCATGACAGCTTTTTTCCCTTCTAGTGCTTTCATCTTAGTCGATCACCTTCCTTCCACTTTGGGCTATACAGCTCCAATTCCTCTCATCTCCTTCATGTTCTTATTTAATTAGCAATTTTCCTTTGGGCAACCACCTCTTTTTCCACTTACAGTAAAGGCTGAGATCAAGCCTCCCATCCCTTCTCTTTCCAGGGTGGCATGGGGTCCAAGGCCAGGCATCACAGTCTGCTGCCTTGACTGCAGTGATTAGTCCAGTAAGTCTAGGACTCAAAGTGGGCCCAACTGCACTTTTTCCTAAACTGGATCTTGAACACAGTGAAGCCTGATCTGGAAACGTTTCATGTTAATTCATCCTGGCAGCAGTTAAGAGCTTGATCATTTGTTCCTGTTACCTAATCCCCAGCTGTTCTAGCTCCCATTCTTTCTGAAACCTTGATCTTCAACTATACCTCTGATGTGAACTATCCCCTATTTTCCAGTAAATTTTGCTACTCCCCACTCCAGATTTTGCTGCCTATGGTTGGCTGCTTGAAACCAAGGACTCCTGATAGTCTGATATCTTCTCCTTTGTGAAGTCCCTTTAAAACCTTCTTTCTTTTCCACTCTTACTGGTTAGAACTTTTTAAATAACATTCTGACATGCAGCTATTATATACATACATGCATATATATATAGCTAAGTTATTTTTCTGTTGCACAAGCAGTCATGACATTTCTTCTCAAAGCCTTCAGAGGGTCAGTGTCTATGAGATGCATCTAGTAGGATTATTCAGGGATCACAGATTAGGAAATGAAGAGGAAGATTACTAGGGAATGGCCATGAGTTATTCTTCTATCATGATCATCCACAAATGCTTATATCAAAAATACTCATTTTCAACATTAAGTACTTATTTAGTAGCTATTATGTAAACACTGTAGACAAAGCACTGAGTGTGCCCTTAAAGGTTCTGAATCACGGCAATGAATGCTTGCAATCTGTAGACCCACATACACACTCAACCCGCCTGCCCAGGTGGTTTGCTGCTACAGTTTGTACTCCCACTTCTCCCCTCAGGCAATCCCATACTTTTAGGAGGAAAATCTTTACAATTTCTGACCCTAAGGACAGAGCAGGAGACACCTCAATTCTGCTTCCTAGATCTTTTACTTAGTTTTTGTGTCCTTGGGCTGGATATTGTGCTTAATATCAGACATCATGACAATACCAACTTCCTAGGAGTCTATTATTTAATAATGTCGATGGGCTTACACTGTTCATGTGGGAAAGCTGTGTGAAAAGTTCTATTGAATACTAAAAAAAACTTCCCCTTCAGAATGCAAACTACTACCACCATTATGGAAAACAACTTGGATTTACCTTAAAACTAAAAATGGAACTACCATATGATCCAGCAATCCCAGTTGGGCATATATCCAAAGACTATGAAATCATTTATATAAAACCCCGTATGTTCCATGGTAGTCACAGCAGCATTAAGTAGGAACTAGAAGCAGCTTAAATTTCCACTAGCAAATGGCTGGATCAAGATGGTGTGGTCATAAGAAAGGATGAAACATAGCTATTTTCAACAAAATGAAGTTTGCAAGAATTATATGCAGCAAAGTAAGTTGGAATGAAAAAACAATTGCTAGACAGTTTGATAATGCAATAATGTAAAAACACTTTCAAAAACTAGTGGACATCAATAAACATCCTGAGGGCTTCAAGATTAAGAGGGAAAGACAAAGGGCTGATAGTGGGGGAAATTTATATATTCCATACATATATAAATTAAAATCCACCAAAGAATGATGAGCAAATGGAGAAGAAAAGGACTAAATTAGAAATAAATTTAACCTTCTCCACATTTTCAATTCTTATATAAGCATCAAGATGAAGTTTCAGAAAATAGTCTACTTCTAAAGTTGCAAACAAAATCTTACAGTTATAGGATAAATGTTATATAAAAGGATTTAGAAGTCTTCTTTGTGTTTAAACTCTCTCCTTAGGGGTATTACCTTGCCTTAGGGGCAGTAGACAGCATTAGATGATGGAGCATTTGATCTGAGCAAATAAGTCTGAACAGTGGTGAATAGTACTAAGAAAATATTTTCATGTGGTTTCTTATTCCAAGGCCCAGGAATAAGAGGCTGTGTTCACAGGAATACAACTATGGTTTCCATGACCCTGGCCAGGGCTTTGAATAGACCAAGGCCAATATAGAGGTATCTTCTGAAGCATGAGGGTCTCTAAAAATCTGGGTCATTTCCCACTCAGATTGCGAGTGGCAACTACAGGGTAAAGGTAGAAAAGACTAGTAAGTATAGTTGTATACATTGGATTAGTCACACTCATACAACCACACATACACTGGAAAATGTATAGAAAGCATTTAGGTCAGAGTTTGGTCCTTAGTAAACAGTAAACAGATACAAACTATTATACAGTCACAAAGACACATTCATGTGTAGATATACACAAATATCTAAACCACTGTGAGGAAAATTAAAGATAGTCACCCATTTACTGAACCAAAAATTCAAAGCTCCTGGGGCATCAGGCAAGATTCATCCTCATAATAACCATTTTGCAACATTATAGACATTTCAGGGAGAAGCCAACATAAATGGCTGAAATGTTCACTCATTTCCCAATGAGCCAAAGATCAGTTAAGGCCAGGGCCAGTGAGCAGGGTGAGCAGTGAGCATAGGGAGTGGGGTATTAGTAACCACCAAGACTGGCTAACAGAAGAGACCAAGATGGAGCAGGGTTTTCTGGCAAAGACTCCACAGTGGGCCTGCGGGGCTACAGGAAGGGCAGTTCAGTACATCCTCCTGCAGGGCACCTTGCCACTCACCTCCGGTTCCTGCAGTTTCATGCAGGCCAAAGTGACACTAAATTCCTCTTTGTTTTCTTAGTTGCTACCACGCCACCAACCTCCAGAGGCTGCCTTTTTAGATCCTACTGCAAGAGGATTAAGTCTCTGGCCAGGTATCGGAAGGCTAGTTAGGTCCTGACACCTATTACATGCCTAAGTTTGTGCTGGAATAGTCAACACAAAGCATAAATATCTAGTCTGATCTTTGCTCTCTTCTCTCATTTTGCCTTAATTATAAAGCATAAAGTTTAATAATTTTATTTCACTTAAAGAGAGAGAGAGAGAAGAACCTGGTCATTTCACCCTACAAGAGTTGCTCATAAATTTACTCACTCTCACAGCAATATCTATGACACTGAACATATACTTTGGCAACTGAGATTGCTTGATATGTGGAAATGCTAAATAAGTGAGAAGTAAATAAGTTGACAGTATATAAAATGAAAATATCAGTAACTCATAAAGAAAAGCAATTTTTGAATTGATTTTCTCAAGTAAGGAGTCCTGTTATGTGAAAACCTACCTCTCACCATTAGGCCCCACTCTGCTGATTAATCTTTCCATGGCTTCCTCTGTCTCTTTCAGTTTTTCTTGCAGTTGAACAAGCTCAAAATTGGCTGTAAAATAAGCATCAATCTGAGAACCACAATATGTAAAACTCCCCAACCTTTTCCAATGAAACACAGCTGGTTATGACACTACAATAACACAGGCTGGCTTGAGACTCAGAGACTGAGCATCTGTCCCACTTGTCCAACCCAAATGAAAAGGGAAGTGAAGTTTGGGCCCCAAGAGCTAAAGGATACACGTGAATCGGTGATGAACAAATCTCTCTTCCACACATGGAAATATAGCAGGACCAGCTAAAGAAAACATAAAAAGTAAAAGCATACCCCAAAAAGAACCAAAGAAAATAAACTCTTTTTAAATCCAAATGATATTTAAGATCAAACTACCAAATAAGGCACTTCAGAGAAATAAAGATCATGAAATAAGCAATATTTCACCTGCAGCTAAAGGTTTATAAACACACCTGAAAATAAGTTTTAATCTTAAGCATCTGTAATAGACAAGATCTTGAAGTATGGTTAAGATTTCCCTGCCCGAGGCTTTCTATTCAAGTCATCTGGGGTAATGTGGAGTAACCTTGCCTCCCAGTGACATGTTCTCAACAAGGGTCAGTAGTGCACCTACCTATCTACTGAAACTAACGGTAAGACCCTAAAAATGGGACAGAAAAATAAATCCGCCACGAAATGAATTTTAAAAATTATGGGAAAATAAAATGTTCACTATGCAGATAATCAATAGTTCTTCTATTTTATACCTAAGCAGCCTTCCACACATTTAGATGGCCATTCAAATGTATTTCGAAGGTCTTTTAATATTTTTACCAAAGTGATTAAAAATTGAAGGAGAAAGGCCCTCCCTGGTGGCGCAGTGGGTTAAAGCACTGCACTGAGAAGCTAAAGCCACTTCCGCATGAGTTCAAATCCCGCCTGCCCCGGAGGAGACCACATGGCGTGGCAGACCTCTCCTGACCCGCCCGCTGCTCCCCTCAGCAGTGTACTTCGTCGATCTGCCTGTTCTGCTCCCCACTCTGTCTCTGGTGAAGCCTCTCACCGCCCCTGAGCCTCTGGCCTGTACCCCAGTTCTGTATGTACAAATAAATAAATCTTAAAAAAAAAAAATTGAAGGCTAAGAAACTGATATAACTGCTAATACATTTAAAAACAGCTGCTCTTAGGAATTCATTTTCTTTACTTTCTGTTTTAAATGCATTAAGTGACAGCATTCAAAATATGCTATCTTTAAAGCATCCACAAATCTTTGCAATTATTTTACTGATGCATTTATCATCACCATAGATTAGATGCTACCTTTATTAAGAACACAACATTTTTCTTAAAAGAATTCCTTGAATATCTAAGACTCCCCAAAGGATGCAAAAACATAATAGGCATATCTGTTTCCCTAAAGAAGCCAGGATTAAGGCTCACTTCATTCTGCTCATGTCTTTCTTTTAAAAACTTCTGAAGAGGCCTCACAGTGATGAGACCTTCATCACTATGAGTTAATGTACCCATTTTCCAGGTCTTCTTTCTCCTAGCTATAGTTCTGTGAGGCTCTGCTTAACACAGGCCTTCCTATCTGACAGGCCTTCCACCATAAACGCCAGCTAGGTGTGATTTCCCATAAAGCTGTCCATTCTTTCTAGGTAGTAAAGTTTCCACAAGTTACTTTTCCTGCCATCCACCCTAGACAATACATTTTACAGGGAAGGGTCATGCCATACACACATTATTTCTCGAGAGCACAGAATACTCTAGTGGGTCAGTAAATATTTGATGATCCACTTTTCACGAGTCAGACATGTAAAGCTACTGACTCTGGCAAGGACTTAATCTCTCTGCTTCCGTTTTCCTCTCTGAAATAAAGATATTAGCTACAAATAACCTGAACTCTGGAAATGAGAAGTGACCCAATTCAAACAGAAATATCAATATGCCTATATTAAAAAGTGAACGCATGTTCTTACATTTTTTTCTAGCTGTCTTTGCCATGACAGTCCAACATCAAAATGGAAATTTTTGAGAATTCACAGGATTAAGGTAAAAAATGGGATCAGATTAACTTGGAACAGCTTTTGAGGAATGCTTTAAGACATACCTACAGATTAAGGCTTGCTTTATTAGAGCTGTCTGACTCAAGCCTTGAAAGAGGCACTTACTAATTTTCCTGTGGGCATTTCCAGGTGTGGGAGTAGAGCAGTTCCGATCCTCTGCAGCTTTCCCCTTTGAGAGCTGAGAAGTGAAGGGAGTACAGACATCAACAGCAACCCAGAACCTCAAAGTCATGGAACCCCTCATAAAAAATGAATAAGTCAGAAATCAAACAGCAACATTAAAAAACATTTCAATAACAACAAAAACAGAAGCAAAAACAACAACAACAAAACCCAAACAGCATGGAAGGTATCTAAGTAAATAATCAAGACCCAAGGGGAAAATTCCCTCTAAAAGGGGCACATGCAGCCCCCAGGGTATTCTCAGACTCCTGCTGGACTGCTAGAGAATCTCTTGGACCAGGAGCTCACTTCTTACTTTAGTTAGAAGGGCAAAGTGAAACTTCTCCCTCCACTTCACAGTACGTAGGCCCATGACCTGCCAAAGCCTGCCCAGGAGTGAATCTGAATTTGGAATCTGTTTCCCCAGAACTAGAAATATCAGACTTGGTTTCAGTACATGGTGGTTCTGTTGCAAGAAAATTACTGGAGATGCTAAAACAGCACTTTTGCTGGGAGATGGGGGTGGGGGAAGGACAGAGTGCAAACACAGTCATTATTTGGTCTTATGGTGGAAATCACTGTGCCAATCCTAAAAATAAAGGTCTTAGAATATTTTTGCTTCTTTTCAGTTTGCAAGGATGCTAAATTGTGAGTTCTGGATTAAATCATCTTAATTCTTATAGAAGATCTTATTACCTGTATTGTTGGAATGTTAGATAGGCTCTGAACTCTACTGCTAATTAAATTAGCAACTAGAAGATCAGGTTCAAGTCTTGCTTCTGAATTTTCAGTTGTGAGTTCTGTGATAATCTTAATTCCTAGTAATACTTATTAACTTATTCTTATGCATATTAACTTATAGTTTCAATGCTGAAAATGATTTTCATTATGTTAGAATTTCATTGGTGTAATATAAAAAAAGGTCATTCCACTTACCTTAAACAGAATGTACAATATATATAAAAATATCCCAAAACCATAGATTGGAATAATCTGCCCCATCAGGCCTCTTCCACTGCCTCCTCCTCCAGCTCCTCCACCTGCTCCCTTGGCCTTTGCGAAGGCCTCGGAAAGGTGAGACCTCTGGAAACGAGGCCCAGGGGTCTGGCTATCTGAAGGTGCCTGGTGGTGATGCATCACAGGTGGGAATCGACCCAACTTTCCTGAGGAGAAATAATTAATCAGACTTTATTTTGTCTGTTTTAAATGTGGCTATCATTAAAACAATTTCTGTACTGAGGTATAAGTAACAGAACTCAGGACAGTTACTCTCACATTCTATTTCAATCTTTCTCCATCTCTATGGGATCATAAGACTTCCCCCCGCCTCTGTACATACATATCTCCTTCATTCCCTCTATAAGATTCCTTTTTGGGGAACATGAAGAAAGGTGATTACCCCAAACCCCTCAATTCATATGACCTTCCAAGTTCCTTAAATGAAGATTTTAAGTACTTGCTTGGTAGGCATGCACTCCTTTCCAATCCTCTGGGTCAACAGACTGGTCTTCATGGTTCACACAGGGTCACAGAGGTTCATCTCTGAGCACAAGAGCATGGCTTACAGAAAAGATAGTGCATGGATTTTCTTGCCATTTTCTCCCTCCATCAGAAGCAACCAAACATTACTACCAACTGCCAAACCTCCCAAGAGCCACAGATGAGAAAGGAAAGATCTCTTCCCAAGGTCACATACACTGGGTTGTGTGGGAAAGAAACACCACTGGAGGTAATAGTATAGGACAGAACATGCTAGAAAACAGACTTCGCAGGCACTAAAATACAAGCTATGCAGTAGAAAACTGTAAAATCTGAAAACACATTTATAAGTATCTACTTAGTAAGGAATATTACAAACAGTGTTAAGATACAGGACAGAAGCAGCTTTCACAGTATCTAAAACCGGCAAGGGATTAGGTAGCTAGAGTGGACAAGGATCCTGTAAGGTAATACAACTTTATAGGCAACCCAGCAGAAAAATGGCCAAAAGAAATGAGTAGGGAAATCAGAGAAGTTCAAATGGTTGACAAGAATATAAAGAGATGATCAAATTCAAAGTCAAGCCAACTGGTAAAATGCAAATTAAAGCAATGAGGTCACACATCCCTAGCAAAAAGGCTAAAACGAGAATGGTGGCCAACAGCAAGGGTGGCAGAGATGGCGGCAGCAAGAACTCATGGGGGTCGGAGTATAAAACAACACGATCTGGCTCTGCTTTGTCTCTGCCTTGTGACTCAGTGACATCAGCCTGGAGGATAAATTCAAGACATTTTCAAATCCAAGTCTATCTCCAAATCCAAGTTACAGACTTTGGAGACCCATATGGGAAAGTCTGCTGTGATGTTGTAGCAGGGTGCCTGAAGTAACTTTGATTTCCACAACAAAGAATGGAAAATCAAGATGAAAGAGTTATAAAATACGGGATTCTTCATAGCTTTTAGCAATCGCACTTCGGATGTACTGACAGTGACATGAATATATGATAGAAGAATATATGATAAAAACACCGTGTGTAAGAAAATACATTCAATATGTAAACTGAAGTAGCACCTTAATTATACCACATAGATTTGAGGCATGAAGCAAACATTTTAAAATAGGGTGCATGGGAATAGGCTGGCAAGGAGACTGAAGGTTAAGGTTAAAAAATTTAAGAACAAAATAAAGGAAGCACATGCTGACAGTGCCAAGGAAGCGCTGTGAACGGAGGCCTATCTTTAAGTCAATGCTCTGCTCCCGAGGCAAGAAGCTGCGGGGCTGGGGCGTGGGGGAAGGGAAGACCGCAAGCTTGTGGACGCTGCCTTCTGTCCTGTGCCTCTGCAGCCACACTCCGGTCTGTATCCTCCTTTCCCTCTGCGTACTGGCTTTGGATGACAAGGCAGTTATAGAAGGCTTCTCTTTAAGTGTAGGACACAGCTTCAGATAGTAGAAGGAAATCAGAGCATCACTCCTATGGAGGCTGGTGGTGAGGTGACTAGTTGCTACCAATTATCAGGGGACCTTAACTCATATATTCAAAGGTGCTACTGTAATGCCTCTTCAAGAAATGTCCAGCCAGCATCCAGGAAGCTAACCATTCTCTAGAGAGACTCTGATATAACAGGTGGCTAGCACTTAATAAACTAGATTTAATATTTGTCATCATGTGCTGTTGAACTTCACTGTATTATAGTAAGAACACAGTCTTCAAAACTTGGCATAAAACAAAAAAATAAAAAATTAAAATCAGGTCATGGCATTAAGGCATATTTTGCATTTCTAAAATTGAAGAACGATGATGATGCTAAACATTACATATCTTCCCCCCAAAACTTGTATTGATCTGTCAGACAGAAGATTTATTACCAGCTATTACATTCAAGGCTCCATGCTGTAGGTGGGAAAGGCATATCCAAGACAGAAATAGCTCCCCCACAAACAATGGTTTTTAATAGTCCAACCAAAACAGCAAAAAAGTGCAGGGTATCATAAACATTAGACAAACTAAATGTCTAAATAATTCAAATGCAAAAAGAAAAAAGAAGGGGGGAGGAGTGAAAAGATTACAATGATTGAGGAGAATGAGGCTCAGCAAAGTGAGAAGGACCTTAAAAGTCATGTGAACAAATAAACCCCTCACCTGCAAAAAAAAAAAAAAAAAAAGGAAGTTGGACCCCTAGCTCATATCATATTCAATTTTTAAACATTAACTCAAAATTATAGGCCTAATATGAGAGCTAAAGCTATCAAACTCAGAAGAAACAGCCTCCATGACTTTGAAATTAGATAATGATTTCTTAGATAGGATACCAAAAGTAAAACAATAAAAAAATAGGTAAGTTTGACATCAAAATTTTAAAACTTTTGTGCACAAAGGACATCATTAGGAAAATGAAATCAATCTACTGACTAGTAGAACATATTTATAGCTCACATACCTGATAAGGATCTAAGTATACAAAATATAAAAAGAACTCTTACCACTCAATAACAAAAAAAAGAAAAAAGACCTAAACTGAAAATAAGCGAAGAATCTTAAACACCCCAAAGACATCTAAATGGCAAAAAAAAAAAAAAAAGGGACATGAAAATATGTCCAAGATCAGTAACCATCAAGAAATTAAACCCACAATGAGATACCACTTTACAACCACAAGGATGTTATAATCAAAACGACGATGAAAAATGTTGGTGCAGAAAATGGAACCCTCATACTCTGCTGATGAGAAGGTAAAATAATGCAACAGCCTTGAGAAACAGTTTGGCAGTTACCCAAAAGGGTAAACATTTTTATGTAACCATTCACATAAAAATGTGTACACAAATGTTCACGGTAGTAGTACTGAGAAAAACCAAAGTCTACCACTAACAAATGGATAAACAAAATGTGGTATAGCTATGCAATGGTAAATTATTTGGCTATTGAAAAAAAAAAGAACAAACCTTTTATGCTATGATTTTTGAAAACATTAAGCTAAGTAAAACAGAAGCCAGTCACTCCCTCCCAAGAGCACATTACTATATGACTCCATTACTATGAAGTGTCCAGGACAGCTAAGTCTACAAGGTAGATTAATGGTTGCTTAGGGTTGAGGGAGTGGGGAAAGAATGACTACTCTGCTAATGGGTAAGGATGCGGGGAGGGTTTACCCAGGGGAGGGGAGGAAGTGGTAGTGATAAAATGTTCTGAAATTGATTGTGGTGATGGTGCACAACTTTTGACTATATTTGAAAACCACTGATTGGTCTGGCCGTGGTCTGGCCACTGAATACCACCAAGCAGGAAACCCAGTACTTCCCCCAGGAAGCTCATGCACCTCTCTGCATCTCTGACTGTTACGCTGAGTTAGTGAGTAAGAGGAATTAGGAAATACAAAAGCAACACTGAATGAATCATGAGGCAATCATAAGGAGAGAAACATTAGAACTGATTATAAAATTAATGAAAAAGACATTATAGATCTGAGTCAAAAAGGTGCTTAAGAAGTAGAAGATGCTATTCTCTAAGATGAGAGGCCGGCCGGAGATTGTAGTGGGAACAGGTGCTAGGTAATAAGGCTTTTATATCCTAGGGGAAATGTGAGCATTTTACATTCAGTGTAGCAGCTTACACATTTATCAGTTAAGTTACTGAACACTTAAATGTGCCAGTCACTGTGCCAGACACTGAGATTAAAATGATAAATAAAACAGAGTCCCTATCTATAAAGAGTACAGACATGAAGTATCATCACAGCAACTGTACATTAACCACCAAATTCAATGACGTCTTCCTCAGTTCTCGTGTAAGACTCTTTATCAACACAAGAAAGCAATTGCCACACACAAGTCATTCAAGAAATATTGCATTAATCTGAATAAACTTTCCTGCTAGTCTTTATGGCATGCCACCCTACTGAACTTAACTCTTCCCACAGACTGGTCTTGTAACCTATTCCTTCTCAGAGTCTTTAATCTCTTTTACTCAAGATTTTTGTCTCAAACGGTTATTCCTCTCTCCTTTTTCTTTGGCAAAATCATTCATCCTCAAGGCATTCATTGTAATTTCCAAAATGCATATGTAGTTTTAATTCTGTCCTTTCCCTCAAGCTCTGTCTCTTATCCCATTAGCATACATGTCGTTTTGGATGTCTATCTTCAAATCTAAAAACATTTTTACCTTCCAAAACTTTGTCTCCTTTTGTATTTCTTTTCATTGTAGTCAGTCTCTGACCTTTCTCCTCGAGACCTATAACCTCTGCCACCTGTGACGAAGAGCCACTTGAGATGACAGGGTCACAATGCTGAACGTGGAAGAGACTTCTCTATGTCAAGTTACATTTCCTCAACGGGTAACAAACCGCTTCTTGGATCTTGGTACCATCATGTTTCTTAAGACTAACAACCCAGGATGTCTTAGTCAGTGATCATAAAATAATTGGATGTAAAAAATTGAAATTTTTTAAATTTAAAATATACAGACTAGATGGTAATGCTTAAGCACTCTCACAGGCATTTGTAACTGAACCTGGGAGTGCCCTTTTCTTTCCCTCTCCGAGACAGCCACAACTCTGAATTAGTACTTGTTACTAGAATGTATGCTTTTAGAATGTTACACCTTAAGTATACATCCATACACAATACATAGTATTGTCATGAATGTTTTAAGATTTTATCTATGGAGAACAAAACAGTGCAATGCAAT